GAAAAATTAAAGATGTAAAGAATTTACATGGAAAGCAGGTTATTATAATTTGAAAATGCCATAACTATAATGACATATGTAAGATTTTTAACCACCATCAAGTGTGATATAAGTTGTTTTTTTTAATTTTTCATCCTTTACACGTTTCAGTCAAAATGACCATCATCATCAGGATATTATCAACACATGGAAACTATTACCATTTCATAGATATAAAAATTATATCTTTTAACTAACACAAATGAACAAAAATAAACAAACACAACATAATAATAATAATAATAACAATAACAACAACAACAACAAATAGAAAACAACAATAATATAGGAATTTATAAATTACAGATAACTAACGTGAGCAACAAGCTGCCGGGGAAAACATTTTAATATAATTTATGGAAGTGAAGACACCCTGAGTCTAGTGAAACAACGAATTATAAAAGAATTTTATCTTGTTTTAATTAAAGGAGGACTGCAGCATGTGGTTTCCAAAATGAACTGGAACAGCGAAACTGTGTAGCAGTTTTAAGGTCTTGATTGAATATCTGTAACAAAACACCTGAAGATGTTTCTTAGTTTATCTAAGAATGGCCTCCCAGATTTGCAATCCAATTTACATAGTCAGAAGGAAGAAAGATTGAGTGATAAATTTGTTATCATACAGAAGGAACCACCCAAGCATTTCTATGGAGAGACTTTGAGAATCCACAGAAAGCCTTAATAAGGATACCCATCCCCTTGGCTCCAAATTGAACCACAAGAATCCAAAATATGAAGCAAAAGTGACAATCAATCTATTTCTTTAACTATTTTCTGTGTGGCATTTTGAAGAAAAGTAACATTTCCAGCCATTTACCCAGAGTTTCAGCTATTCATTATCTTTAGACTAATTAAAGTTGAAAATTTTTGTAGGGATGTATGAAGGTAAAGAAACTGTTGGTTTAATATACAGAAATAAACACATCACTATATCCAAATGAGGCCATAGGCCAGGATTTAGACAACTTCATAATGGCTTGAAAACCAATCAGACCAGGGGTAAGGTAAAAAAAAGGGTTAAGTTGTCCCCTGTGCTTAACTAATTAAGCACTATGCTGTGAAGGCATATGGGGTAGTGAATGTATAGATCCACATTTTCTTGACCTCGGCACTAGCTGGAGATGAGTGGTCAGCTTCAAACCCCTGCCGCTTTACCCCTGGGGAAAGAGCCTCTGGTACCCATTGGATAGGAGGCTGGGTAGGCCCAGAGCCAGTCTGAACGATGTGGAGAAAATTCTTGACCCTGCCAGGACTCAAACTCGAACCCATTGGTCATCCAGCCCATAGCTAGTCGCTATACTGACTGTGCTGTTACAAAACCATACGTGCATGACCAAAATAATGCAATGATTGGATGAGATGGTGCAACAAGTTAACCCATTTGCTGAGTCATAAAAATGAATGCCTTTAATGAAATACATGATTGAATAAAATGTGGTATTAATGACTTTTAAAATCTGCTGGAATGGCATGTGTTATGCAACGTATGGCTACTTCATACATATGTAAAAAGAGAGAGGTGACAGTCAGTTATAGATCTACTACCTATGACATTTCAAGTGAATTCTCATGTTAGGGAATAGACAAGAGGGTTTAGACTGAGTATTGCATTTATTGAACGCTTATGACTCATAACTACAAATAATTATACCATTTTCACTATTCTACACAATCTAGAAATAACTGTTACTTCTTCACGACTCATTGCTTGGTAGTGGCTTCCAACAATGGGGATTCCTTTACGGCTTCCATACTGAACAGCTCCTGTCCTTGCTAGCCGGTGAGCGACTGCTAACCAATGACAACAGTCCTGGCAGGTAAACTGCTGCTGGCCCTTGCCAGCACAGCCATTCTCTGGTTTTGGCACAGACCGCATAGCAAACAGTGTTTCCAACACTGCGTATTTGTTTTCACAGGAACCTGTTTACAAACCCACTGTCTAGCAATGGATGTCTCGGTGTTGCTGCTCAGCCTCCACTATTCCGGTCCTTAGGTGTCGTGCGTATACAAACAGAGAAAAAGAGAGGGAGATGACACAATTATAGAACTACCACCTCTGGTACTCCAAGTGTATTTATGAGTGTCTTTATTCTTGAAAAATATGTCTCTAGTTTTTAAAACACATAAAGATACAGACTAACAGATCTTATCAATTTCAGTCCATTGTTAATTCACAAGCTTTTTTCTAATTTCCTATCCTTGCATTTGGTGCCCCAACCACACTTAGGTAATCCCTTTTACTTATTTTGTCCATCTACTCCTGTACAGCTGTAACAAACCAGAAGACCAAAACCTAAATATTGTCACGCAGTATGTGTGCCTCTTGATGGCGTCTGGATAGGTGAATGCATTTACTGACCACTTACATATAACTTGTATCACTGCTGCACCATCACTAATTTCTAAAATTCATGAATCACCACAGCACACCTTAACTCTTTTCCTGCCCGCTGTGTCTTCACAAGGTGTTCTCTGGCAATGGCTTCTAACAGCAGAGATTCTTCAGCTTCATGCACTAAAGTCCTCTCTTCACAAACTCCTGTACGGAAATGACTAAGCTCTAACCTTGTCTCTTGCTTATGACATCTCAATACAGACCACACAGAAAACAGCTCTTATATTGTTGCGTTCCTGCCTGTTGCTGTGGGAATGTGTTTGCCAGGCCATTGCCCACAAACGGCCCTGGTATACCCACCCATCTCGCAGTTGTTGTACGGCAACAGCTCTACACACTACAGTATTCATCAACGCAAGAACCTAAAATTCCATACATATGTGAAGTTATCCCTGTGCTTAGCTAAATGGAGCACTACACCATGAAGACATGTGGGGAAACGGACGTACAGATTCACGTTTTCTTGATCTTGGCACTAGTTGGAGTAAGTGGTTAGCTTCACATTCTGGCCACTTTACCCCCAGGGAAAGAGTGTCCGGTACCCACTGGATAGGAGGCTGGATGGGCCCCACAGCCTACTATCTGGATGCTGCAGAGAAAATTCTTAACCCTACCAGGACTCAAACTCCAACCCCTTGATCATCCAGCCTGTAGCCAGTTCCTATACTGACTGCACTATCCCAGTTCTTCCATATATAGGTAGTTCTCATTATCTTGCTGATGCCTACAACTTGTCATCTCTTCACCAATAACAACTTCAAGTATTATGCAAAATGATGTGTTTGGTTCCTATTAAAGTTTTTATGTCAGTGCATCTTTTTATAAGTCTTTCAACACTTCATTTACCTTGTGAACCATAATACAGGAATCTCTATGGTATGAAACCTTCTGCAGCTACATTTTTATTATCAGAATGTAGCTCCTAATCACAGAAAATTCACTTCAGAAGCTACAGTCATTTTATTATTTTCTTTCTTTTTCCATATTCCTGAGAAATGAAAAAATATGTTTTGAGACTCTCATTTTAGTATCAGGAGTTACGTCTCTCTATATTGCACCATCTACTGTATTAACCCTTTAACCTTTATCGGACGAACGTCATCATATGATGTCGTTAAAAGTTAGGGCAGCTGGCCGAATGTCATCATATGATATCGCGCATTCCACGCGTGTAAAGATTTTTTTAAAAATTAAATTTAAAACATAAATTGTTGTTCTATTTACATGATTTTTGGTCACAACCTTTATAAGGTGACAGCCTTCCCTCGTGCGTGATCTAATGTAATCTACCGACGTCATATGGCCGAACGACCTCATATGATTTCGCACATTGCACGCGTGTAAAGATTTTTTTAAATTAAATTTAAAACTAAATTTTTGCTCTACTAACGTGATATATGTTCACCATATTCATGAGGAAACAGCCTTCCTTCCTGCGTCATCTATGGTAATGTGGCCTTCGTATGGTACTGCCGAAAACATTCCGAAATGCAGAGCCCAACATCGCAGCTCACGCACTTCATACGAACGCTAGACCGCTTCCCACGCGAAGAGCACACACGACACCTCAGTTGCGATTTAGAGGAAGCAGGCCAGTGATGTCGAGCTGCAGTGATATTTATCCCCCCCGCTACACCAGAATAATTATTCACACCTCTCCAGCCACACTGATCTGGCAGTCCCCAAGTTGCCGACAAAGGTGATGACCCTTCATCCGCGGAATCAGAACTCCAACTTTCCCCGCCACTCTCAGAATCGGTTGAATAGCAGTCCAAATCTGTGTCATTGAACAGCTGTTTCTCAATTTCAGCATCAGAACTCCAACTTTCCTCGCCACTCTCAGAATTGGTTGAATAGCAGTCCGAATCTGTGTCATTGAACAGCTGCTTCTCAATTTCAGCATCTTCCATACGTCATCGTGTGGCCATGGTGAAACTATACGGCTCTCTAGCAGTGAATCTCTGTGCTTAGACCAAGATAAGAAGCCATAAATCATGACCTCGAACCCACACATACAATAATCTCATTCACGTCTTGGCTGAACTGAATATCTGCGTCAAACATGCTACATGATGTCATGGCTGGCTAACCTTATATTGCGATGTTTCAAAATCGTTACAAACACAATGGTTTGACTGCAATGAATGAACGAATGACCGATCTGGCAACACCATATTCTGAGAATGTTCTCCTGTGTATTTCTAAGAGCAAGCGATTTCAGACGCCCACAGTCGTGCATACCGAAATGTCCCATATGATAAATAAGCTTCAACAAGAGATAGGCATTGTATGAGGCTGCTACAAGGACTTACACTGCTAGAACGCATGGTGCAGAAAATGTATGAATTTTGGGAATTTTTTGGGGGGGAATCTGTGTAAAAAATTTTTACAGATATTAAACTCTGTAAATTATAATATCTGATTCTATATTCTTTCTACATTAAAGGAGCGTTCATTTCGTTCGTTTATCATAAAAAATGTAGAAATCACACCATTTTTAGAAACATGCTTACAATTTTATTGCTCTAGAAGGGCGGGCATTTAAATAAACTCCGTCCAGCTGCCCCTACCGGAAATTATATGGCCCGTCCAATAAAGGTTAAAGCATAGTGGTTACTACATGTGCCACCTGTCCCATATTCAAAAACTCTACATTCTGCATGTGTACAGTGTATATATTGCTGTTGTATGATTTTCAATGAACAATGGTTACTTCTCTATACAGAATTTCCTTTGAAACAAAAATTAATTTTTAAGTATTATTTAGATAAACTTCATGCTTTGAAGGGTTAATTCACTTTCCACACTCTTGGTTACAAAAATATCTAAAATCTTCAGCAACAACACTCACTGATTTGTTTATTTTTAAGCCACTAGTAATTTGTGTGGTAACACCAGAAAAATTCTTCAAAATAAATGTAGGCCTTAATAAAATAATACTGCTGAACTCCCATTTAGGTGTATATGGGAAGCAATGGATCTGGACACTAAACTGAGCAAAATTTTAAAAGGACATAACTTAACACTGATATTCTTGACACAACAATACAGTTTAATGCTGAATGAGGAAAACTTTAAATTAACGAACACTGAAAACACGATCCCCTGCATTAAGAACATAATATAATTGAAACACGTATTATTGTGTATCATAATGGAGGAAAATCCTCATCTCTAAACTGAAAACTGCGTTCACTTTCTCTTACTCGTGGTGTAGCATGAACACTTACTCCAGCACTCGGTGCTGCCAAAGGAAATTTAGACTTATTTTTAAAACGGTCAGGAACTGCATCTGCAGAGGCTAAAGCACTGTTATGATTCTGCGCTGATGAATTAGTCTTAATTTCATTTCTACTATCAGATTTAAGAGCTAATCCTGTACTATAATTAGCCAAGCTATTAAGAAGGGCATTCCTGTTTCGGCGCACCGACTTCTTGGGTTTCAGAGCTTCTCTAGATGTCACTGCATCAGTGTTTTCCACTTTCACAGGCTCTGCAGATGACGATGATGGATATGAGGTTGCTTCTGTTGTATCCTCTGTATGATCTGGTGCTGCCTCACAGAGTGAGGTCCCTTCCTGAAAACTATGGACTGGTACTGCCTCGCAGGACAAGGTACCTTGCTCAGCATTATCAAACTGCCCATCCTTGCTTTCATTGTCACTGTCGACCTCTGCAAAATAAGAACTCATTATTAGTCATCCCATGAAATGAAGAGTTTTGTAAAATTTTATCACAGAGTTAAAGGCAACAAAAATGATGAAAAGTGTTGTTTCATGTTCTACAGTCTGCAATGCATTTAATCCCCATGTCTGAGGCAGCAGAGGGCAACTATTTTCACTCAAGAGCCCAATGGGGCTATTTTGGAGTGCTCAGAGGTCAGAGAGAATTTCCCAATATATTTTACAAATACTTAAAATACTAGTTAACTGCTATCAATCAGTCAAACTAGCCAATCAAACTTTATATATCACCACAAATATTAAAACAGCATTGTTTATAATTAATTTCTACGTAATATCCTAAATTCTGATTAACGTTCTGAAGTTGTTGAAACATATATGAAACCAAATCTGAAGACTGCACCATTACATTTGTCCATACACATGTGAGTATAGCATATATAGTACGTACTAAGAGATCCTGAAATGCTTGCACATCCATTAAAATCTTGTGTATTTGTGAACATCATATCTGTAGAAATAACAATGATAAATGACATAATGATGGTTGAACACAGCCTAGAACCATCATATATATTTCATGGGCCAAAAGCAGTCCAGGGGCCCTACTCTTCCCTTCTCTTATCTAAGAGCAAAGCTGAGTCAAGAGACAGGTGAGTGAAATAGCCACATGGAGTCTAACATGCATAAGGGTGTAAGCAATAATTTGTAAGAACTGTTATACTTTACCATAGTACTTTCAATAACTGAAAATCCCTCACTCCATAGCATATTTTGTGGTACAGTAAGCCACAAGAATCCTAATAAGACCCGAAGCTTTTCAGTGGACAGCACAAATCAGACACTTGACATGGTACACGGACCAGAACCATGAAAAAGGCAGTTCAAGTCAACCTCTGCCTTCTGTTCACTCTTCTGTTTTTCTTTCCCAGAAGTTGTCCCTTGTCCCCCTTGCTTTTTTTGTCAGCTTTACCGGCACTTGGATGACATGGGGCTGTCATTCTTCGCTTGGGCTGGAGAGCAACAAGGGGGTCAGCTTGAAGCAACTGGTCAAAATATGAGTTTGTAAGCCTGGAAAGTGGTTGCCGTATTGTACGCTGCATCTGGATGGTGTACTCTATTTGCTATCAATTTTTCTTTCGTTGTTCTCACCTCTGAAGTCGTTTGATTATTATATTAATTAACCAGTGTCCTCTGATTCTACCCAAAGCATCTTATTATTCATATACACATGCATCTTCTCACTGGCCTCCACTATGTTATCTTAGTTATGATGTAATCTGAAACTACACCAAGATATCAGTATTTACAGCTGTAATCATATGGGCATACTGCATTTGCAAAGGCCCTATTTACTATGAACATTTTTCGTTTTCATTTTTAATACCTACCCACTACATTTCATCTCAATTGTGTTTATTTTTGGAGGGGGTGGGTTTCCCCATGCACTGCGACCAGTAGTCTATTGTACGTCCCCCCTTTAATTTCTACTGTCGCCATACCCTACCGGTACTGGTGCTCGCTATCAGTCCCATTCTGCCAGCGAGGTTGGCCCTCTTCGGGCACTGGTATCCGATGCTTCCCCCTCTACTGGAGGCATTGGATACTATTTGGGCGTGAAATTTTTGCCTAATTTTGCTCAAGAGGTCTCCTAGAGATATGAGGATCTTTTACATGCCGTAAATCTATGACATGGGACCCATGGCTTAAAGTCCCTCCTGGAGGACTTGTTCCCTGAATTTTTCTGCCCTTAAAAATTCCACGACCTCCACCGGGTTTGAACCCACGTACCTTGAGTCATGAGGTGGGAACGTTACCCCTAGACTACGGAGGCCGCTTTTCCCTTCAATAGTAATTTATCAATTTACAGCCTGAAACATAACAATGGTCTGATTCTAAACAAAGCTATAAATAATTTTTTGGTGGCAGGAAGGGATTACCATCCTGTTAAATTGAAAAATCTTCCACTACTCAAATATGGCCTAAAATATGTACTATCTCATAAACCTTTAGTTTATGGCAAATTCTACTAATTACATTTGACAAAGATGACAAGAAAAGAACTGTTGAATTCAATGAAGTAAAGTGAGAATCCAGTACAATTCCTTTGTCACCTTATTAAGTTACTAAAATTTCCATCTTTACATATATTATTCTGTTGTTTCATTTGAACATTAACAGTCAACAATGAGGTTAGCAGGGTACCACACAGTGGAGAAAGGAAGTACAACTTTAAATATATTGTCACCTATTATGTGTGTGACTTCAGACAGGGTTTGGACTGGTGAATGGATTTATTGACCACTTATACACGACTTGTAGGTAAAAGTAATTACAGCGCCACCACTAATCTCCACAATTCACAAATCATCACAGCACCTAAGCCTTTTTTCAGCCCGCTGTGTCTTCACCAGCCATTCCATGGCAAAGAATTCTAACAGTGGATATTCTTCAGCTTCACACACTCAGGTCCTCTCTTCACAGCCTCTCGTACAAAACTGCCTGAACTCTGTCCCTTGCTTGTAACATCTCAACATGGGCCACATAGAAAACACAGTTCTAATGTTGCATTATCAAGAATCTGCTGCATAGTAATGGAAACATTTTTACCAAGCCACTGCCAAGAATGGTCACTGTTTACAGAGTTACTGCTTAGCAATGGGTCTATATGCCATAACATTCATCCAATATTGTAAAAATTAAAATGACCACAGATGTGTAGACTACAATCAACATTATCATATTTTTATTCTTCCACATAACAGTATTTACCTTTGGTCTCACAATGACACCAAAACAATCACCCAAGAGCCAAATCTGGAAGTGAGGAGACACCACTGAAGGGGGAAGAAGCACTGGCTTAACAATTATAGAAATGATTAACAAAGCATGTGAAAACTTCTACCACAGAAACCCAAAAACTCAGTAAATTTTGGACAGTGTGAAAAAAATGAATTTTATATAACCATTGAATGAATTGGGCTAATTAAAATACATTTGGCCACGATCTGATTAGATCTGCTTGACATACTTGAATGTTAACTGTCACAGCTAAAGAGACTGGCTTGATGCAAATCATTCAGTACATTATTTCTGTCAACACATGGCATTAAGTGTGATAAACTGATGTTTAGAGGACAGAACAGACTTTCACAGGACTGATATCTGTGGTCACTTGAAGATGGTCTGAAGAAGAATTCTAGGTTTATCTGTGCAACTGCGTTATATCACAGTAGCCTTCATGTTTCTAGAAGGTGGTTCTATGCCAGAACCTGGCAGTCAAAAGGTTACAAGAAATCTACATTGCAAAGCACATAGAGAGAAAACATTTATTACTATTTACAGTAACATGACATAGGGAAACGATTTAATGAAACTGGTTTTCAATTTCACTTTATAATATCCCATTATGAAGCCTGAAGAAGCTCCAAGGTGATGGCTAAGGTTTTGGATAACAAGGCCATGGGAGAAAGTCAGGTGATTTGGTCCTTCAAAATTCTGTAAAGGCCGTTTTAGTAGACCATCCTAATTAGAATTGTCACTTAAAAGTTACCCATTCAACAATTTAGTCAATGGGTAATCCACCATGCTGAGTTAAAAACAGAACCCCACATGGTTTGAATGAGCAGACATCAGAATCAAAAGAAAGGAACTCTGACAAACAACCAAACTACTCTGTCACTTGGGTAGGGTACTGCAAGCTTTGGAGTTCAACTCAAGACTCATTCTGGTACTCTACCATCAGGTTCAGAAACTTGTAATTCCTGTCACCTATCAAACTACAATTAAAATATATACAGAACTATAATTTTACCTTAATTTCATGTTCTTGTGGCTGAAGTTCACAACATATAACTTTGGCTTCCAGCAAAAACTTGCAAGGAATGTTGGTCTTCCATTTAAGCAAATACCATAGTTGCCATCTTTGTGTTAATCATTAATCCTGGACAAAGAAACTGCAATGTTTGCTAAAACTCTGAAAAACCTTCAACATTCTATGAGGCTTATTCCTAAAAGCCAAAGCTCTATGTTATAATTTTACTTGCTGTTTCTTATGGGTATGAAACTTGAGTTCTTATCCTAAAAGAACAACATATATTGGCAGCATTTCACACCAAAGTGCTGAAGAAAATATGTGGACCTAAAAGAGAAATAACAGCTTGCAGAAAATTACACAGTAAGAAGTTTCATAACTTTTTTCAAAAGGTGTCCGCAAGACCAAATAGGTACGAGATGACTGGGACAAATACTACATAAAAAATTGTCTGCTGGAAATCCAGAAGGGCAGAGACCATATGCGAGGCAAAGGTACAGATGAGAGCATAACATTAAAATTAATTTTTAAGCAAACAGGCTGTGAAGATGTGGACAGGAGTCAAGCAGCTCAAGGAAAGAGCCTGCTGCTGGGCTTTTGTATGTATGGTAATGAACATATGGGTTATGTAATAGGCACAGGATTTATTAATCTGTTGAGTGACCATCAGCTTCTCAAGAATTACTCTAGTTCATGGAGTTGGTCATTAAAAAAGTTGAAATGTTCAAAAACTACGTTAAAAATTTATAGTCGAACATTGCAGTGTGGTAGTTTAATGCTCTTGCTCTATATATGGAACATAAAACCTTCACAAGCAGCCATTCTGAATTTAGACAGTCATAATGGTGTGTCCAAAAAGCGAAACACAAGACATGTAACTTAAAATATAACTAATTCTGCAAGGGAATGCCACATATATTTCATTGTAAATGCTACTAATCTAACGTGCAGTTCACCATTACTAAGTAGCAAAAGGGGAACACAAAAATGACACAGACATATAAGTTCTTCAAAACTCTCTATATCTAAATTTAGTCCTCACTTTACCCTATTCAGACAGATTGTAACTTCATATGTGACCATGTTATTTCACACATACATGGTTACCCTTCAGATTATTTCATCTGAAAACAACTTCAGAACTGGAGCAGTTATGCAAAACGTCATTGTCCCAACATCATTTATAATTTCACCAATAAACTATATATGCAATAAAATGTTAAGGTTAGGATTTTTTCCTGATAGACTAAAATATGTGATAATAAAACCTCTGTATAAGAATGGAGATATATGGGATGTATCTAATTTTAGACCTATATCACTTTTAACATCTTTCTCAAAAATATTTGAAACCATAATATATATAAGAACTTTAGAACATCTTAATAATAAGTATAATATTCTAAGTACTGACCAATATGGATTTAGGAAAGGATTAAGAACAGATAATGCAATTTACAAATTGACTACAGAGATTTTAAATTCTATGAACAACAAACAATTAGTGGCAGTGATCTGGAGAAAGCCTTTGACTGTGTAGATCATGATATCTTGCTGTTCAAACTTAAATTTTATGGTATTACTGGGAATCTGATTTAAGTAACAGATATATTAGACCAGTAATACATAAAAGTGATGTGAATACAGTATCCTCAGATTGGCTTAGTGTTAAACAGGGAGTGCTGCAAGGGTCTATATTAGGACCTTTATTGTTTCTCTTATATATAAATGACTTGCCTAAAATATTAAATCAATTTTCTATAATTTTTGCTGATGATACTAGCTTCTTATTTTCACATTCTAATATAAATGATCTTAACAGGAATATTCTTATAACAACTGAAATCTTCAATGGATGGTTTAGGGCTAGTAAGTTACCTTTAAATTTTAATAAGACACACTGTATGCAATTCAAAACTAAGACAATAATGTCGGATACTTTTACAATAATCATAATAATAAGTTTACCAACAGTACCCTCAGTACTAAATTCTTGGGAGTTATAGTTGATAGTGCTTTAATATGGAAGAATCACAGATTTACTTGTAAAAAAAATTAAGTAAGTCTTGTTATGTGATTAAAAATATGAAATATTATATGTCTATTTCAGCTCCAAAGGTAATCTATTATTCCTTTTTTCACTCCTTAATGAGCTATGGTATCATCTTTTGGGGAAACTCATCTCATAGTCCTACTATTTTTCTTCCCCCCAAAAAAAGGCTATTAGAGCGATGTTGGGATATGGCAATAGTTTCGTGCAGAAACATATTTAAAGAGTTAAATATTTTATTAAGAAAGCAGTCTTCTGGGATTTGGCACCGTGTATATGTGGTGTTAACCGACGTTTCGGAGGANTGTCGTGAAAGCCTCAAATGTTACAAATATTTTATCATTTGCATCACAATATATATTTTTGTTGTTAGTATTTGTATTGCAAAATAAAGTTATTTTTCCATCAAACACTGATTCTCATACTACTGATACCAGACAGACAAGCTTTGTATCTACCTCAAGCTAATTTAACTATTTATCAAAAAGGAGTTTATTATGCGGGTATAAAAATATTCAATAAATTGCCCATAGAGATCAAGAACACATCTAATAATTTTAAAAAGTTCAAGGTTGTATTAAGGCATTTCTTGAATACTCATATGTTTTATACTGTGGATGAATATCTAAATAGATAATTTGTATTATTGTTGTATTCATTGTACTGTCTAGTTATGTAATATTTATGTATGTATTCTATGCTCTATATTATTTTATGACATGTTCTATATCCATCACAATAGATCACTGTAGGTCGCGGTGCAAGGGCCGAGAAGTCCCACCCCTTACACATTCATTCATACCCATCTTTGGATCTCTTGAACTTACAATAAATACAAATACAAACACTGTATATGACATACCAAAGAATCATGCAGTTAGTTAGCTTTACACAAGATCTCATTAAGCAAGGCAAACAAAATATGAATGCCTTCAAGCACTAGGCCCAGGAACAATTACATAGCATTTTCAAGCATTTAGGATAGAAGGGGCTTTAGGTGCACCAGTCAAATTGCAGTGAAGATTTTTTTATGAATTCTTAAGGGGAAGGGAGGAAACAACAAAAACAGAACTACTACAAAAAAAAATTAATGTTCATAATATCAACAATACCTGAAGAAATATGCACAGATGCATGTCAGTAATTACTAAAGCTACTTACCATTACGCATGAACTCTTCTATTAGTTCATTTGAATATCCAGGCCCCATTGCCTGTGATAAAACAAATAAAACAACATTCAACATGCTGATCATGGTGGCACTGATGTTGGTAAGTGCTAGACTGAAAAGTCTATTAAGTCTTGACACATTTCCAGGAATGTACAACTTAACCCATAAGCATGGTAATGCAAGGGTCAAGTATGAAATGGATTTTCTTTATTTTAATTTTGTTAAGAAATAAGGCAATGAGCAATAAAGCAGTCCTAAAATGCTTTCATCAATGAATGTAAATATTTTTCATTGTGAAAACTGAAGTGATGGAATTTTCTTTTCTGATACAAGAAAAAATGCAAAAACAAACAACTAAAACAATATTTTCACACAGACTTACTGGGTTTTTGGCTTTTTCCATCATCTGGTATTATAGAAAACTTTTACCCCTTTAGAATGTAATTAATATTTTCCTTGCATCTATACTACTGTGTGTAAACTGTCAAAACTAATTCTGAATGTTCTGGAAATCATTTAATAAATCTTTAATCTGTTCCTTCCCCCACAATAAGAGCCTGCAGCAGTTAGTCCCCACACTTTTTATGTTTAAATTTATTGTAGCTGAGTAATAATTAAACTTCACCTATATAAAATAAAATATATGCATGATTTTAAGCAACCAGTTTTTGCAGCAAGAATTCACTTTTGTAACTGGCTGCCATAAAAATGTGCACAATGGCATAGTCGATCCAGAACTACTGTTCATAACCAATGTGACACAGTTTTACCTTTGTAATAATGTCAATGCACAAAGTATGCATACATGATGTATGAAAAACCATATGCCATTCAACTAGTGCCATTACACAGTATAAAAGTAGGGTGTGGTGTGCTGTAAATGTGTGTAAAATCACTGGTTTAATAGCTTTTCACACAACTGAACTCAGATATGTATGCAAGCAATGTACTGAATCTCTTCATCAATCAAGTGACAACAGAAGAGAGACAACATATGTATTTCGAGAAAGCTAATGCTACAGCACATGCTGCTGACAAGTTCATGGGTACTATACTTGAGGCATCTGAGAACATAATAATCAGCAAACAACATTGGTCTGCTAAAGCCCATGAGTTTTATCTCTGGAACAACCTGAAATGAGAAGTAAAGGGTAAAGCTATCCCTGTAACAGGCCGTGGAGGCATATAGGGTTGACATACGTTGAGGATCCCACATTTTCTCTAGACATCCGGTTCGCAGATGGTGGTGACGTCAGCCTTATGCGCTGGCCGCCCTTTACCCCCCCCCAAATATTCCTGGTACTCATTTGTCAGAGGCTGAGTCATCCCCAGGGCCATAGTGCGGGTGGAAGGATTAGGTAAATTGAAAAAAAAAATCCACCTCATCAGGATTCGATCCCACAACCTTCCAGCTTGTAACATAGTGCTTCAACCAACTACACTGCCGACCGCCTCTGTGGTCTAGTGGTCAGAGTTCCTGGCTACAGATCCTGAGATCCTGGGTTCGATTCCCTGTGCTACCAGATTTTCTGAGAAGTTGTGGGTCTGGAACTGGGTCCACTCAGCCTCATGAGGATAACTGAGTAACTATTTCAAGGAAATAGCAGCTCCAGTCTAGGAAACCAAAATTAAAGGCCACGGAGATTTGTTGTGCTGACCACGTGACACCCTAACTTCACCCACATGCAGCAGTCTCTCGGTTGATATAGTTCGCTTGAGGACTTGAGGCATGGAAATGAGAAGTATAAGAAAATAACCCTTGCACCACTAAAGCATTCCCCTTTAATGTTGGACTTTTGCATCTCAAGTATAGAAAAGCATTACTCACACAGGAGTCATGGTTAAACAGAACATGGTAGTTTAATGTGCTTCATATCAGCAATGTACTCAGTATGCAGTAGCAGCAGGGGATTGATGTTTTTCTTGCTTTCCTGAATCTCACCAGGTGCATACTAATGATCAAAATGGTCAATGATTGCTTCCATCTATATCCCTTCCAAACTATCAACCACAATTACTCACACTATTTTATTTGATTCTATGTAAACTTTTCAGTTTAAATTCCGCCAATAAAGTACTTGAATAAGTGGGAAAACAGAAGTCCAAAGTGTGACTATGATAGTACATAAAATATAATTTTATGAATTCTTAAAAACTGTACCATTCTTAGCTGACGTTGAAGAGATTCATCCTGTTGATAGCGACTGAGAGCCAAAATTCGCTCTCCTCTACCAGCTCCTTGTTCAAAACTTTGTTGTAGTTGGAAGTCTGCCTCCTGCACCTTGGAAAATTAAACCTGAATGCATAAACATGTACTGAAACTATATCCTATATTAAACTATCTGTATACGTAAAATAATAACACTGACTTCAGTTACATGTACACGTTTAATAAATAATACCATGTTGAGCAATGGGGAAGGTAGTCTTGAAAGATTGTTATCTTCAATAGAACTCCCACGCCCGTATGAGGAGTATGGCATAATTGGACTATCTTCTTCGCTATCACACTCTGCCGAAAATTTCGATAATGTGTTCAAATCCGCCAATACATCCATTCTAGATGTCCACCTGGCCATTTCTTCCGATTTCTTCTTTTGCTGTACGAAAGGAAAAAGGTTTCTTCTACACAATACTGCAAGCGTTTATCGGGATGACACATCTCGACAGATTCTACACAAACAACGTAAATACATCATATTTTTTTCTATTCATCTTTTACTGAAAATCTGACACGCAACTATTTCACTTTTTTCGGTTTCTCCACTTGTATAGCACGTCAGCCAGTTCTGAGAGCATGAATAAAATCACTTTTTCTTCACACCACTTCGAACACAGCACATTTTACAGCATACAGCACTGTTTCCTTTTATTTTTTTTTACTATAAATTATTTTAACAGGTGCGTCAGGTAATAAATAACAATAATTTGCAAACAAAATTTTCGACGCGCCTTTACGTCCATATCGTCGACCAATCGCTACCAACCTTACTAACCTTACTAACGTTCCCGAACCGACAAGGACAGATATTCGTGCCACGTTATACCTGGTAACTATTACAATCACAGATGTATGTCAATTGTTCGTGATGCCATCTACATTTAAGGAGTACAAATTAATACGGCTGCAGTAGATCTTTCGGTTCCATAAAAAGTTACTCCTTGTTTAGGAAAGATAGAGCAGTAACACGATGGGGCTGAGTCCATCTTGAGTTCTTGAGAATCCGCCAGTGGCCCAACTACTCAAAAACTTTCCAACATGTTATGGAAATCGCATGTTCATTACCGTGTTCACAAGAGCCCTTCACTGCTCCCTATTTGGATCCAGAGCGATCAAGTCCATACTACTTCATCCTGTCTAAGATCCATTTTAATATTATCCACTCACCTACGTCTAGATCTTCCTAGTGAGCGCCTTCCTTCTTGCTTTCTCACCAATATCCTACTAGCATTCCTATTCTCCTCCATTCATGCAACATGTCCTGTCCATGCCATCATCCTTGACTTAATCATTTTAATTATACTTCGTGAAGCATAGAAGTCATGAAGCTCCTCATTATGTAGTTTCCACCAACAACTTGTCAATTCATCTTTCTTAGGTCCAAAAATTCTAAGCACTCTGTTCTCAAACACCCTCAGTCTGTGTTCCTCCTTTACTGTCAGAGACCAAGCTTCACATCCATATAGAACCACAGGCAAAATTATAGTTTTGTATATTCTAATTTTAATGTTTCAGATAGCAGGAGAGAAGGCAAAGTTTCTGGACTGAATTGTAGCAGGCATTACCAAAATTCAATCTCCCCCAAATTTACCCTTGAAACAAGTTTGATTTGTTGCTGTCATTCCCACATATATTTGAACTATGCCACATTTTCAAAGGATCTGTTAGCTATCTTCATGCCATGATTTCGCCTTGCATTCTGGTGATGAGACAGCAACATATGCTTGGTTTTCTCTGTTTACTTGTAGGCCAACTTCCTCAATGCATCAATTAGTTTCTGTGTTTTTCTTTATGGTGTCAATATTATAACCATGTAGATTCACATCATTAGCATAGATCAACAGCTGATATGTCCATTTAATTTTAGTCCCACCTGGTTTTCCTGAACCTTCCTAATGACATATTCTAAAGCAAAGATGAAAAGCAGTGGCAATAAACATCTCCTTGTTTCAGACCATTCTGGATAGGGAAATTAATAGACAAATGTTCACTATATGGACTTTACTATATGTTTCGTTTAAGTATATTTTAATCAGTCTAACCAGTTTCACGATTACCACAAACTCTATGATAATACTGTACAATACTTCCCTCCTAACTGAATCATAGGCTTTCTTGAAGTCTATGAATAGCTGATGTACTTTCTCATTGTATTCCCATTTCTTCTCCGGCTGATGAATACAAAAGAAGTGATCAGTAGTTGATCTGTTATGTCAAAATCCACACTGATGATCCCCAATAATTTCATTTATATATGGACTTAACCTTCAGAGAAGAATTCTGGATACAATTTTGTATGAAGTTGATAGCAGTGATATCCCACAATAATTACTACAGTCAGTTTTATCACCCTTCTTGTGAATTGGTGCAATAATAGAATTCTCCCACTGATCAGGCAATTTTTCCTTATTCCAAAGAGAATTAGCTTGTGGATCTCAGAACGTATGATAATATTTCACCTCCTGTTTGAATCAGTACTGCCAGAATTTGATCACTACCTGGCGATTTATACCTTTTCAATTTTGAAATAGCAATTTCAACCTCAAAATGGGTAGGGTCAGGTACTAACACTTCAGCTCTATGTATTTCTATCTGTCTGACATCACTGACCCTATATATATTCAATGACTGAGAGAAGTAGTTCCTCCACCTATTCAATATGTTGTGGGAATATGCAAAGCAGATCACCATTCTCATCCTTCACTAAGTTACTTCTAGGTTGGTGACTCACATGCTGTACTTCTCTTTTCAAGGTAAAACCAGATAAAATCCATTAAAGTTTCTATTATACCCACATTATTTTGGTGCATTTCATTTCACCTCACATGGGGTGACATAACTTTTCAGTTATGACTAGTAAAGACAACACCACATGCTGTGACAAAAACAGGCAAACCAGGGGCATATGGCAGTCACATCTGAAAAGTAGGCTACAAAAGTGAGGGGCAAGTTGCCGAAACAAAAAACACCCTGGACAGACATACATTTATGAACAAGGGACAACACCCTATGTGAGGAGAAATGAAATACACCAAAATAACATGGGTATAATAGAAAATTTAATGGATTTTATCTGGTTTTACCCTGAAGAGAGAACTAAAGCGTGTGATTTTAACACGGATTAACACAGTGTAACAGTTTTAACATAATTTAATAAAGTATTTGTAACATATCAAGACACCTGAAGATGGTCGTTTGGGGCCAAAAGATGTAGCGTCAAAGTGTATAATGTTAAACTAAAATTAAAATTAGTGAATAAATAAGTGTTGCAATATTGACAGATGATAAATACATGGACGTTAAGTTAAACAATTGCAACAGGATGCTGAAATAGAGACTTATTCCTTTGTACTTCACACTTTTGTCTGGATAGCATTTTCTTACAGACATAGTTGTCAAAGGTGGGTGCATTCTGACCAGAAATTTACGGCTGAATTAAGATTGAAAAACAAATTTGTAATGTGTATGAATGACATCATATTCACAGGGGGGGATAAAAAGAAAGTATAGAGTTAACAAGAAAAAGGAAGGTAAGGAGTTACAAGTTTCAACTAAGGCATGATGAAATACAACAAAAATCCTTTAGTTTGTGAGTTCTTTATAATACCAGAATTATGCACTGCAAAAATAAGTCATAATTTGCATAGATGTTTATTGTCTTCTGACAAGTGATACTGTGTAGTTTGGTAGGTTTCAGAGGAACCTGCTGCCATCTTCAGGGTAGAAGCATAAGCCATATGGAGAAAAATGGTCTGTTGTTTCCACTTCCTTCATTTTGACCTGTCTTTTGTTCTATTTTGGACTTTAATCTTCTTCGCTCTTGTTTCTCTCCATTTCTATTATTTTATCTTATTTTGTTTTCTTCACTCACTTCTCCTTCTTTCCATCTTTCAAGTCTTTTTAAGTCTACAGTTTTCCAGTCAGTTATACCACTCCCACTGGTTCACTTTCAGCCATTCCCTGTATCATGAACCATTTGTCCCCATATGGTTTCCTTTCCTATTGTGAACATGAAGGCAGCCGGTTCTTGCAAAATGTTTGTAGCTACCTATTCAACTATATGGCACCACATCCAAGACAACAATAATATTCAGTTACATAAAAAAGAACTCTTCCCACATGCATACAGAAATTCATCTTAATCAAATAAGATTTTAATATCTTAATGATGTTAACTGTACAAAAAATAAAATACCCCATTAAAGTTTCATACTTTTACATGAAAATATTTTAATATTATGCATATTTAAGATACTAGAAAACTGTATACACAGGACTACAAGTGCCAGTCATACTATGACAATGTAATGAAAACTCATTCTGCTAGAACCATTTATTACTATAACTTTTCCCATCTGTAATTTAATAAAAAAATTGCAGTGTTCAGGAATTAAAGAGGCACAAGACCAATAGAAACAGGTACAGTCCAACCACTTGGCCAACCAGTTTAATCAACTTCATATTTCAATATACTGGAGAAGTTAAATTAATTCCTTTCAAAAGAAAACACTCTTTTCATTTATTCAGTTCATCTAGTGAAAGGTTTAATAATATCCTGCTTACATCTTGTTTTATTAAATTTAAAAATGTAACATTTCATGCATTTGAACATGTTTTTCCAAATTTATATCGACTCTTATATGTATAATTTAATATTTCATGCATATGAACATTATTTTTCCAAATTTACATTCCTTTTTACATGTACAATCTACAGGCCTATCTATACTTGAAAAAATGAGAAACATGCTATATTTAAAAACACCGCTACAATGCTACTTCCTCAAGCAACATAATGCTGCATAAATATTTTTTATTAGGAACGGAGGAAGAAAGATTATCCAGCATATTATTAAATTACTAATTTAAAGGTCTATAGAGATGATGGAAGGGATAGCTCAGTTGCTACAGCAACAGGCTATAGGCTGGACGGGCAGGGACCAATTCCCTGTAGCAGCAAAGATTTTTCTCTTCACAGTGTCCAGTCTGCCACTGAAGCACACCCAGCCTTCCACCCAATGGGTACTGTGAATAAAGTGTCTTGGATGTGAACTGAACGCTCAACTCGATCTAATGCCGAGGTCAACAATGGTGGAGCTATTCCTCCACTCCCTCATATGTTTTTAAGGCATGGTGCTTAATTACATATAGGGATAACATTACTTTTACCTGGGAAGACTGGTAAAGTGACTGCAAGGTCTTGGAGATAGAGCAGGCCAACAGGCCTTATTTTCACTAAATAAAATGATGTGCTACTTTTACTGCAGCAATTTGTATGCTAAATAAGAACTTATGTTACCTACTATACTTATAATTCTTCAAATTCATATGCAAAGGCTATCAAGAACTAGAATTAATAGATGTACAACTTAGATATACATTTATGTGCAGAGGTCATAAATATCGGCACTAAACGGAGAAGTCATGTCCCTGCAGAACCATAAAACAATACCTAAATTTATTCATGGACACTTTTCTTAGTTGTTTTTATACTTAATTCCCAATTTCAGGTGAACAAATAAAGAGAAAATGTTGTCACTCTAGGTTGGGAACAAGTAAACTGTGGTCCATGAGCTGGATCCAGGCTGCACCAATTTTCGCTGACTCCAGCAGTCAGTGTGTGTGAGCTTTGCCTACATGAACTTGTCCTTTTGTTTTGAAATAAAACATGGCCAATCTGAAATGTAATGTTAACCAGTTAACTTCACACAGACTACACCATATAAAGCTGAATGCAGCAGAAGTGGCAACTTTAAGTATGCAAGTAACAGCATCTTCCTGCAAATGCACAATCAGCACCCTTTTGTTATATGAGTTGCCATTCCTTACTGTAAACGGCATCATTTACTCTCCCAGTGCTGTACTCCATGTGCAGTTGATATTTAGTTATCTTTTATCAAAAGTTTGCAGTTAATAATTAACACAGATAACATGGAGACAGGGCCATACTATTACAATGATGTCTGTAAGGTAACAATGAGTTTCCCACCTGTGAGCAGTCAGTTGAGTGCTTCTCTTCAGTGAAATAAGTGATTCAGAATTTGTATCTCTTGAATACAAAAAATATTCTCTTCTTAATAAAAGTGAATAGTTATCCCTGCAAAATGAGTGCAGAAAGCAACAACCAACAGATTAATACAGAGTAAGTAAAGAAACATTTCTTCACATCTGTAAGATCTATCACTGTTTTTCTAATTTGTGGTGTCAGTCTCTGTGTTCAACATTCTCAATCTCAAACGTCCGTTTACTTTAAATCATAAAGGACATTATGCCAATTTATTTTTGGATACAAGAACAATGAAGGCCAAATAGCCAATGTTGAATATGGGAAGGGGGGAATCGTTTTGTACCCCAAAACAAGTTGCAGGAAGCAGCAACTTCAGCAAGCCCTTTAGTGGCATATACTTAAGCAATATATACCGTTTTTGGACACTGATTTTGTGAAACAGTATACAATGGACGTACCTGAAGCACTACACCTAGAAAACAAAACAGCATTTGAAAATATAAGCTAATAAGAAAACTAATCATACATCATATGGAAGTTAAACAATCATGTTCCTGTACTTCTCTACAAAGTTGGATGACAGCACTGATGTGATTCAGCTCAATTACGTATACTCCTCATTACACAAGATGTGAATAACAAGGCTGACAGCTTTACTGACTTACTTTCTACTAAAGTTATAAAGGCACTACAACTGGTGATGATTTTTATGAAAGGCTGTCAGCAACTGTGGAATGACACATTCTGCCATGGAAAAATTAATCTGTGTGATCATACACAGATCAAATATGACAGGTAAATACCTAACCCTCTTGAAAAGAATGCATGTCAGTATACATGAAATGTGTCCTAATTGAAAAATATTGTTCTTTCACTGTATTATTCAGCAGAGGATACTCTGCAAAACTGCCTTAGGTACGAACCATCTAACAAGCACAGTTGTGAAACTTGCGAATGTCATACATGAAACACAGATGGTTCAGGACAGTGTACATATTGATGTACTACATCACTCCACTGTTTGCTGGCTGAGCTCAGGTGAAGTCCTCAAGCAAGTGTAGCACTTACATAAGGAAATACTAATGTTCTTCAATATGAAAGGTAAAGATATAATGTTCCCACAACTGAATGACAAAAATTTTAATACTGACCTGGCATTCTTAGTTGACATTTTAGAACATCAACCCAAATAAAATTGGATTTTTCAAGGAAAAGACCTCTTTATACAAGAGTTGTATACAGCAATTCAGGTTTTCAGAACAAAAGTGCTCCTAAGATCTAAAAGTTTGTGATGATGGTAAATTGTTACAATTAATATGTTGCTGGACATTATCCATCATCTTGTCTGTTCTTAAAAAACCGTCTAGTTTCTTTAAAAACACAACGTTTCAGGAACTGGAATCTGTCCCCGTCTTCAGGTAAAACCTACTAAAGACTACTGAAGACGGGGACAGATTCCAGTTCCCGAAACGTTGTGTTTTTGATAGAAACTAGACGGTTTTTTAAGAACAGACAAGATGATGGATAATGTCCAGCAACATATTAATTGTAAAAGTGCTCCTGTTCTAAAAACAAGTTAAAAGTACACATAAACATATTTTTCTACACTGTGAAGAACACATGTGAAATAAAGTACAGTAACAGTCTTACTACACAAAGAATGCTGTGGTGATTTAAGATTTAAATAAAGTAGAACATGATATTGAACTCCTGACTTGTTCTTTCTGCTTTTATGCTGATAAGGCTCCTGATAATCTTCAGATGGGACTGCCTGACCTGCAGAGTGATAAAGACTACAAGAGAAATTCAATTCTGTGAAGTGTGATGATTTTTTACTGTTGTGTGATACACAATAAAGCAGTTTTTAAGACCATGAAATGAAGATGTTATCAGTTTTTGCATCTACATAAAACTGCAAACTAACATTTTCTTTCTTAAGGTTCAGCAAATCAGATTTAAGAGTACTGATGATAGATGAATATTTTACTGCAGTTTTATGCATTGGAAAGTCAACATTTTCATCACGTAGTGGAAAAATTGACCTAAACTGTCAGCAGCACCATTCCCATTAATCTGATGCATAGATATAATAAATCATATAATTTTGCCAGTTATCTATTTTTGTTGATTGAGGATACTCAAGAACACACATTTCCACATTGAACAAACATTTTCTTTCTTAGGGTTCAGCAAATCAGATTTAAGAGTTCTGATGACAGATGAATATTTTACTGCAGTATTGTGCATTGCAAAGTCAAAATTTTCATTGAATAGTGGAAAACTTGACATAAAGTGTAAGCAGCACAATTTCATTTAATTTGGCACATACTAATAACAAATTATATAATTTGGATAGTTATCCACTTTGGTTTATTCTGAGGATAGTTAAGAACATATATTTCTAAACTGGCATATTATAACTTCTTTCCAGCTCAACAAAACATATTTATGTCTCATTTGGCCCTTGAACAAAAAAGTTTTCCCAAATACTTTAACTGTATCAGTACAAAAAAAAAAGGATTATAAGGGAGGAAAAATGAAAGAAAATTATATACTGCAAATTCATAGTTTGGTTCCGTCAAAACAATGTATGTATAGATATACTGAATGTTAAAGGTTTATGAGTAAAACATGTTTCAGCCTTTCAGCCATTGTCAGGTTTTGTCATGCACCTTTGACTTATCTGTTCTTTTCCCTGCATTGGCTAATGTTTACATATGGGTGTATTCTGTTATGTACATATTAGTGCAATGCATTTGTACTCATCTTAATTGAAAACACTGAAATACTGAACTATTAAAATGTCAAATATGCTTATAATATTTCTTATTAGTTAAGATGCATTAATTGTAGTCAATGAATATAAAATGGTGTAGTTCACATGTCATGTAGTACTGCAGGCTGGCCTTGTGTTAGTATATCTATGTGTAGACTGTGCTGACAGAAGCAAACAAGAAATATGACACGATACAATGCTATGATCCAATATTTATAACATTGCAAATATTCAAAACAAAGAAAAAGCTATGTGGCAAGTTTAAAACTAAAGTGGGAAAACTCTATTGAATATAGAAAATACTGAATTAAAATAAAGCATACAGTTCAAAGTTCATGTGATATAGCCAATATAATTCAATGCCTGTTTTACAGAAACAGTGGAGAAATTTAGAATCCAACACTGAGGAGTCAACCTTGTATTTGAAAAATGGCATGTGCCCCTGTCCAAACAGATAATGCATGCTTTTGGAGTGTTACTTGCACAAGCAGCAGCTGAGACACAGAATAGATCTTAGTCAATCAGTAGGTCACTGCAAGAACAGATTATTCAGTACAGTATAATCCCATTACATATGTGTAGATTACCTGGCTTGCAGCTCATCTATTTGCCTTTTGCAGGCATGTTCACAAACTGGAGTCCCTATTAAATTAACCTAATCTGTCTGTCCATCTGTTCATCTGAATGCATGAAACAACTCAAGAACTACTGGATGGATTTTCATGAAATCTGATACCAATACTTTTATGAAAAAAATGTCAAGTCACTTGAATTTCCATTTATATCAAACAATCTCAATGACCACTTCACACATAGACCCATAAGTTTCTGTGTGTATCTCAAGCATATCTTGCCACATATTTGTTGGGGCAAAAAATGTTTTGAACATAAATTGCAGACACAACTAAATGCACATTTTATATTCAATACAGTTTTCTTAAGTATTATGGTTTTGAGGATATTAAAAGAATTGGACATAATGCATAATTTCAGAACTCCTATATTAAACAACCATGAATATCTCTGATTATTTATGTTCTTTCATTACTCACACAACTTTTCCCATTCTTTAGCATGAATAACTGGCAGTATACTGTAGCTCAGTGATACATTACAACCAGCTTTGTGTTATGGAATCATTATGCTGTCTTAAAGTTGTGCTGTCAAGACACGTTCATTAAAGGATTAAACCTTTAATGTTTAAGAGTAGTAGTTTAAAAATGGAATGCTCAAAATGGAGAAGCATAAGTATGAAAGCAGTTTTCATACTATTTAAATATTTGTCAACAAATCTTTTAGAATAAATTTGCAGTTATTTTGTTTTAAAATATGAATACTTTTCAAAACAATCTGTTAAATCAATCTGCATTCATGCTGTACATCTAAAAGACTTATTACTCATCAGAATGGTTGAAAATTATATTGCATAGTAGTTTTCAAAATACTGCACTAAGATGCCGAATTTCTATTTCATATACTTCAAATAACTCCAAATGTGTTACAACTCCTTGCAATCAGATTTTCAATATTTTTAACTTAAAACTGTTAGGCACATATAAAATAGAGCAAGTAAGACATCTATAATGTTATTCACATTCCAAAATCCCTTTGTTTGGAGTTCAGGTAACAATGATATACAAATGTTGAAAATGTAGAAGCATGTATCCACTTTTTCATGGAGTTTTATTCATTATTGTGTGTTTAACTTTCTCCGTGAAGAACGCCAATATCAATTTCAAAATTACTTCAATTAAAGAAAGCCAATCTTTACAAATTGCTAAAATCAGTTATAGCCAATACCACTCCTCTTCTACCATGTCAGATAATTACAGAATAAGAAAGGTACTTAAGGTTGAACTCACCCAAAAAGTTGTGTTATCCAGAGAAAATGTAAAACTTCTACCTTCATAAATGAAATAGAAAGGTGAATGTAACTGGGCAAACTTATTAACTAGAATGTCTGATGCTAAAAAGAAACACATTTCAATTGGGATAAGCAAATTTCTTTACACAATGTACCTTAAGAGCTTCTGATAAAATCATGAGACAGAAACTCCAAAGTTGTACATGTATGTGTATTGTCTAATAAGTAATTCCCAAGGTTCCTGCAAAATGTTAGTAAGTACCAACCACATTCCACCATGTCATATGCCAGAAGACCATAATCTAAATCTTCACTGCTGTGAAAACCTTAAATCCCATATGGTGAATAGCGGTGCTCAAATTAGGATGGTATAACAGCCAACTTCTATACTTCTATTCAGTAAAACCCAAGTCATGCCACATTCCCTCTGTATGTATGAAAGCTTCTTACCAGCTAACCTCACATCTTGCCAACTATTTTTTATCTTTGATACACATTTCATACATAAATTCCACAATCTAGTAAGAGAACCACGGGCTTCTATTAACACCTAAATGTGAGAGTCTATGCATTGGTTGAAATCATGACTGCCTTGCTGTTTTGATCTGAATCAGTCACAAAACTGGAATGAATTATACATGTAGATTTAAATATGTTACGACTAGCAGGATCCTGTCTGTTAAGAAGTTCTGTATTACTTTTTCGATTCCATTACTACAGACTTGGAATTCAAGAAACATGTACTTTCTCTTCCATTTCCAGCAATTTCACATTAAATACAATTTCAACTATTCAAGATCTCTTCTAGCCACTTCAAAAGTGAAAAAAGTAACATGTCAGCAAGATCCTAAAAGGAATACTACAATGTATTTCCCACAAGATGAATCTTATCCCTACATTACATAGACAATTCCAGAAACCCAATAAAAAATGAGTGGACAGGTGTATTCCAATTCCTAAATAATTCTTAATTGTTGTTTTTCCAAAATGTAAATCAAAGGCATAGAAAAATTCTATTATCAAAAGCCACTACCTAATCATTACAGAATTTTTCAATTGACCTAATCCTTCTAGCCACATTATGGTCCTGGGGTCAACTCAGCCTCTAACAGAAATGAGCACAAGGAATCTTCCTAGGGGTAAGGGTGGCCAGCACGTAAGACTGAGAACATCACTGCCATCGGTAAGCTGAATGTCTAGAAAATGTGGGATCATCGACAACTCATAACCCTATTGGCCTCCATGGTCTGTTACAGGGATAGCTTTACCTTTTTTTTAATACCTACTTAACCACACTCCTAAGTTAAGTTAAGCTAATATAACCAAACCAAATGTAATCTAACCTGATATCTAACAGGACACAAAATAAAACCATGAAAATTAATCCCTAACTATGAAAACCTAAGCTAATATTACCTTAATGTAAAATATACTTGAGGATATCTTGCTGACAGCTTGCTTTTTCTGTGCTGCATGTGAAAAAAAAAAAAGCCTGTATCTTGCATTTACATTATTGACTGTGGAAATAACTGGAGTAAAACGTACATCCACACGGTTCAAACTGTTTATTCAGTTCTTAAGATAATGGTGAGAAAGCAGTATTCATAAAATGTCTGCTTTCTTTATAAAGATTTACTGCTTGTTTTTCATGCTAAATGTGTCTGTAAAACAAAAAACACTGGAGTCAAAAAATAAATGTTGTAAAGCGTGATTACTTAAAAGAGGCACCCAGAATCACATTAATTTTCTAAATGAACTACATTGTTCAGCACTAAATGACTGGCATAATGATTTGCCTATACATTCAGATATGTAATTATTGCCATTAATATTTCCAACAGTTCAGAAAGAGGGTAGTGTGTCTGGAATGGGGTCCATTCAGGCTCGTGAGGATAACTGAGGAACTATTTCAAGGAAACAGTTGCTCCAGTCTAGAAAACCAAAATTAACGGCAATGGAGATTTGTTGCGCTGACCACGCGATACCCTCTATATACAAAAGTCTTTGTGGAAGCTTTGGAAGACACAGTAACACCAGAAGTAGTAACAGAGCTACAGTGTTCAATGACCACATTTTCAGACATTGCAGGGTAAGAGGCAGTGTTCCAATTTTGCATCTTCTACAAGTTAAGATAAACATTTTTGATATGAATGTAATTATAGGATTTACATGTAATAAATTATCAGCTACATATATTTCCTAATGAATTCCATTTTGTTACAGTTCTCTAAATCAGAAAATAAGTGAAAAGAAATGTTAAATAAATTGGAAATTTTACACATACTGATTAGAAGCTTCTAATGATAAACATATACTAATCCTGCCATCAACACAAAGTGCATAATATTACAGTAATCTCACAGTTATTGAGTACCCAAGGATCCATTCCCATCCAACCAGCAAAAATTTCAAAGAAAATTTACCATTTTGTAAAGTTATTCAAATGCAAATTTGTTATGTGCACAAGTTCTCCTGCCACATGGTATTTCTCTCATTCACTACTATCATTTACAAATTGCCAGTAAACGGCTTCAGGCAGGAGGTTCCTCCAACCCACTGGGAATTATCTATGAAACTATAGTGTGTCAGATCCAAGAAGACCATAATCAATCTAGCCTAAAGCTTTGAATCGGGCATCAACACACCGTTTTGAAAGAAGAACCTTCTTCCTGTTTGTGTGTACTGTCACACTGGCAAAATACTGAACACACATATTTGCGCTCAGATAATCATTTATGTAGAGCACCAGTGAAAAAGTGGCTTGTGACATATAGCCACAACTCCAATACAGGCTCATCACACACACGTGCGCGTGTACCCCCTCCCGTGTGTGTGTGTGTGTGTGTGTAAAAATTTATAGTAATTTTGGTTATTAGGCCATAACTGATATGAAACCAGATACAGGTTAAGTCAGCATCAGCACCAGCCGTGTATATGACACAACATCCTGAAGAGAAAGGAAATACAGATACATGCTACATACATTTTCAATGTGGAAAAGTTGAACAGGGCTTCAGTATTATCTCCATGCATTCACTATTGCACTTTTCACTTTGTTCCATTGCTCATTTTTCTGACAAGAGTCCGTAGTAAATCTTTTTGTTCTGATGTTAAATGACACCACAGTTCAGCTTCAAGATTGCACAGAGATTCCATATCATGTGACTGACATGCCATAACTAGAGACTGAAGGAGGAGGAACTGGTCTTCTGTCAGGAAGCTCACTGCAAAGGTTAACAATAATCATGTATTTTATTAAGTATTACATCTTGATCAGAATATAACAGTACCACTATGTAATCTATTTATCATTAAAACTCAAAACACCAAAGAAAAATCTGTAATACAATTTTTTTGCTCTTTAATCTCTTAGCACTATCTGATGTATTTACTGCAAAATTAAAAATTATTACATAAGAAAACACAAGCAAGAAAAGTCTACAGAATATTTTAGAATTCAGCTGATAAAGGATCATTCTGTATACAGTAATGTGGTGGAACATAACACTTCTCTGATAACATGGTGCTTCATCCTATTAACCACATTTTATTAGAAGAATCTGGACAAGATGGGAGGAGGTTGAACTATGTGAAAGGGTAATGTCTGCTTGAATGACAAAAGGAGGTACATGTATTATGTCAAAAGTGTCAAGTTGTCCTCTGTTTTAAGGACATAAAAGCAAGCTGACTTACTAAGGTAGTGTAAATCACTACTCACACTCAGACATATGAAGATTTGCCTACAACATGTGAACTGTATAACACAGATATCTGAGTCTATACATGAATGTTTTGGTGAATTCAAAGCCCCATCTCAGCCATCCGGAAATTATTAAATTTCACTTGAATCCCCTGGCTCTCTGAAGTTACTGATTATCTCTGAAATCCCAATTGTTTCAGACACGAACAATTTCTATAAAAAGGACTTCTTTTCTCAGCAGGGGACATAATTTTTGCCTTGGTCCCACAACTGTAATAAAATATGTCCAATACTCTGTGACACAAGATATTAAAACTAATTATTCTTATGAGAACTGTGAGCACTTCAGATAATAAAACCTACAAAATGAAATACAAGCATCTGGTACAGGTACCATGAAATTAATAGTTACTGCCAACTTCTTGATAACTTGCACTTACAGGAATTGTGAGTGCCCAGATGCAGTTCAAACCCAGGCAACTATTTCAGCATGTTCTAAATATACTGTTTAAAATTATGTGGAACAATTTTATTCTGTTTCAACTTAAATATTATATGAACACACCCTTCAAAATGGTGTTTGATCCATCATAACTGGTCCAGCAGCTACATGGAAATAATAAACTTTGCAACCACAGCACACTAACCCACAGACTGACTCCTGACAGTAATGTGGATCTTTGCAATAGTAACTATTGTGAGACAGCATAGTGATGATCTTCTGAAATTACTGTAAGCATCTGGGACTCCAGTAGGTATACCACACAATGCAGAAACATACTTTTCAAGTTTAGTCACACATAAACTTAGCTGTATCATGAATGTGAATTCATAAAATTGCTCTGTGTCCCCAGATAATTTATATCATATCATGTGTTTTGGAAGTTTAGAAAAGAAAGTTAAGAACCAAGAGAATAGTGCCATACATGCTCAACTGGTCGCCCTACAGTGTTGTGTATACAGTCATTCTGCCTATGCTCTAGACTTGGTTGGCGGGGTCTATGTGATCAGGAGCAACAGAGATAGCAATATTAAGACAGAGACGGTGAATGCTGGCCAGCAATATGAAAGAGTGGAACGTGAACAATGCTGTGTCACAAACAGTGCATGCTAACAAAAACTTCATCATTTTCGAGAGGCTGTGAACACATGTAAATTGAATGTGTCTTACATAAGGGAAAATTCATGCTTATACTGTATAAAGTTTAAATAAATGTACAAGTATATACCTATACTCTGAATCTGCAGTTACATATCTTAAGAGCGAATGCAGTATTTATTCTGATCATAATTGGTAGTGCATGTGATGGTAACAAAAAAACATATCAATGTCACTAATAGCAAATTTTTCTGTAATTCATGACTCTCACACAGTGTGTATGCATGCATGTGTGTGTGTCAGGGAGGGATGTTGAGGGGAGAGAAACACACTGCTTGCAACAACATGGCAGTAGTTTACTGCAAGATTGTAGAGGCAAAAGTGGTGGATTTTCTTTCATATGTAGTGCTATCTTTAACTGAAGCATTAATGTTTGTCAGGAGTATATTGCTTGAAGGTAATTCTCCCTCCAAATAGCATAATGTGTTAACTTCATTCACAACTAAATGTTCATAGAGACTGTAAAATTCAGCACAAACATCACTGAACCTACAAAAGAAAGATCTAATTCTCCAAGCCTGTCACAGTCCTTGCCAGACTTGTCTGGCAGATTCACATTACTGCAGAAATGTAGGTATCTCAATATGTGGAAGGACTGTTTACTTTTCATTATGTTCTTGTAAAATGGTATACGGAACTGTTCAAGTGGGGACCTGTAATCTTTCACTGCATCACATATTGGATGTTCTGTTTGTATTACTGTAACTAAAAAGACACAATCGCCTGCAAAATGATGACAGGAAGCCAAGGGCATCTGCTATCACCACAAAGTATATCTAAATCAAATACTGGTTGTAGCATTCCTTTCCATTTGCCGTAAAAAGTTTGATCACTTCCATGATGACCAGAAAGACAGTAACTGATGTGTAGAATCTGTGTCACATGGACTGCCTCTTGCATCCACAACTGACCAAGAACTCCTCTGGAAGGACACACACCACCAGAATTTAAGGGTATTGTGTTATCTACCAAATTTTATCTCACCTTCACCTCTTAATTATTGTTAAAACTCAATGCTACTGAATCTTCATCAAGCTCACTTTCACTGTCAGGTGAGAGTGCTTCAAATAACTTTATGAAGTGAGCTCCTGTTCATATATCTTTTTAGTCTTAAAAATTTGTGCCATGAGCAGAGAATAACATATTCTACTGGCAGTAATACAGTCTGTACATCATCCTTGCACACATGCATAATAAGATTATGCAGATCAATGTCCATGTTCACCCTCATAGGGTTGACATTTACAAATAACTCGCAGCAAAAAAGCATAATGGAAGTCTGTATGCAGCAGTCGACATCATTCAAAAATAAAGGTGTATTTTAGCATTGTGATATAGCAACACTCAGCCAGTTGGACCAGTCACACAACAAGCATGACATAAATGTTAAACAATCAATAAGGCTCAATCATGAGGAATATACAGCCCATATTAATTGTTATTGTTTTGAAAACAGAAAACCATACTAAATTCAATGAAACATATATTTAAACTGGGGGGGGGGGAGAAAATTTGTACCTTTCCCACAGCATTCTAGAGCATAATTCTGACAGCAGTTTCAATGCTTTTGTGCGGATGGTAATACAAACCTTCCCTACTATGGGTACCAAACTCAAACCTTTGTAAAAGCTAATAAAGAAATTACTTTCAATGACAGCTGAAAGAACTTTGATTTCAGTTACCTGGCACACTTCCATCCTCACCCCAGGCATACTTCTCTAACACTTGGGCTAGATTTGGAGGCAGGCGTTGTGCTGTAGGTTGCAAAATTAACAGGAGTAGCACCCGTGTTATTTCACACCTTGAAAAGAGAATTCACTTTCACACAAATTCTGTTAACTGTTCATATTACTACACAACTTCATGGCTATTGTGTCTCAAATCAACAAAGATATGAAAGGCCAAAACTGAATTCTATCGTTCTGCTGTGCTAGTTTTTTAAGAGAATGATATGAAAGTAAAGTAATAGCCTTCTCGATTCAAAAAAGGAATAATTATATTTTCCCACAGAAGAAAAGCAACAACAGCTTAAGAGTGCTACTGACAAACAGTATTTAAAGAGTTGACATTTTCCAAGTCAGTCCACAGAGTCATTTGGGTTCTAATGCCATGTACCATTAGAACTTTCCAACCCATACTTCTGTTTCTTTACATTGTTGACAAGTGCATGTTTGGCACAAATTTTCTATCGTGTTTTTACTGCGATTTTATTCTTTCCTCCCACTGACAGAACCGGTTGTCGGTTGTTCATAGGTTGTTTCTAGAGATCAAGGTTTGTCCAGTGATTGAGACTAGCTCTTTCTAAGGGGCCCAACTGAGTAGGTTAAACCTTCCCTATACACCTGAAGACGGAGACAGATCCAGTCTCCGAAACGTTGTGGTTTTTTGTCTTTTTATATACCGGACGATGGGTGAAGTCCAAAATAAGCCAAAAGAAGTACAACTTTCCAACTGTTCAGGAAAAACCCACTGCCCCTACCTTCAGGGCAGAAATGGCAAGATTAGGGGGTACAGATTCAATGCCACACAGCATCACAACCCAAAAGATTGTATACAGACCTCCATTATTTATTAAACAATATGAAAGAATAAATAATATAAAATTCTAGGGGAAGAAGTCACATGTCATGTACTGGATTTTAGTTCACATTCCTGAACATGGAACTCAAAGACTGTCATCACTTTCAACCCCAAAAGCATGGAGACAATAAATACGTATTTAGTGAATGCAAGGGTCACATTCTGGCATTGGATTTTTTTCTATTGACCTAACCCTTCTGGCCGCACTAGGCCCTGGGGTTTGCTCAGCCTCTTAACAGAAATGAGTACCAGGAATTAATTAAATGATTTTCCTGAGGAGTGAAGCGTGGCCAGCACATAAGGCTGACAACCTTACCGCCATCTTTGAGCCAAATGTCAAGGTAATGTGGGGCCCTTAACGTCTCACAACCCTATGGGCCTTCACGGCCTGTTACAGGAATAGCTTTACTTTTTTTTTTTTTACTAAGGGTCACATTCTGTAACCTAAGCATCTACAAAACAAACAAGGATTAAGAAACTTGGAAAAGGCTGTTTCCATTTATTTTTACAATAAAAGTAGTTGTTTTCATATGACTGACTTGCATAAATGATGCAAATAATGCCATACACGAACTGAATTAACTACACTGAAAGTGAGAAGTGCTGGGAATTGTTGGATGTGTGCTTAATGTGCTTGATGCTGCTGTGAGATTGAAGCACTTGGCCAGATATCCTGGCAACTATATTTATCACACATAATGAGATTTTTTCCACATATACAAAACAGTTATGCGAGGTAATTAGTGTACAGTCAGAACTCCACTGCGAAAATATTTGCAAGAATGAAGTATAAATACCATTAGAGGAATGGTTCAGTGTGCTATCAAATAGATGGACCAGCATTTCATTATAGAAATTAGGATGCTTTCCTACAGTGTTGAATACTCAGTTTCAGCAAAGCAGTTCATGAGTCTGCAGTGAAATACAAATGCATATGTTTAACAAGATAAGGAAGTGTGTACTGCATACCTGTGCATGATATCACAGTAAACACCTAAGAGTGGCTTCCCAGCATATTCCAAAACTGACACCATCTCATTAAATACAGATAGTGCCCCATCATAGTCACCTGAAACAGTGCATATTCTGATTTCTCTATGCATTCCACCAATCCAATGAGGTTAGAAATTTTGTTTCCACAGATTTATATGACAAATTTCTGGTCAAGACTGTTGTACACCAACTAACAATTATGCAACAAAATAAATATAGCTTATTGTGAAGTACAATGGAAATCTGCTAGCACATGGCCATCTACTGGCTTGGCACTTTTAAAAGGAACCTCCATATGCTATTGAACCTCTTGCAGAGGTACTGGAGCCACCAGGAAAAATGTCATATATATTAAGAATATGGTGTTGCTTACGTCCATTTGTATAGCAATGGGAAAGAGAAGCAGGTACACAGGGATCTACAATGAAAAGCTGTAAAAATGCACCTACTCACTTTGCCATGTCTGTTCTGTTTATCAATCCATCAGTCCACAAGTAATTCAACACCTGATAAGTAGATTATATGAAATTTGATATTTTGGAGTTTTACCATCCCCTGTTCCCAGATAATAAAGTTAAATAGATAGAACCACTTAAAAACTTAAGTCATGAATGACAAATTCATCTTCATCATGCCCTTGTGCATGAGACATTTATTCAGTACAAATATTCTTTTACCAGAGTTCAGACACACTTGATGCCACAATGCAGCCTTCAGGAAAGTTAAATGCAACACAACAACAAATATGTCATCAGTGCATAACAGATCATAGGAATTTAGGATATGGCATATACACACTCTCAGGCACAACTGTGACAGTAATTTGAATGATGACAATTCTCCTAAGTCAAAAAAGTGAATATTTTGGGCCCTGATATTCGAAGCAGGAATATCAGAAGAAAACTGTGTACAGGACGATGGATTCAAAAGTTGCTTTCAAGAACAGCAAACTGCCTGCAGACGGAGAGTATGCATCATCCATCGTACAGCCCTGATCTCACCCCAAGTGACTACCACTTGTTTGGGTTATAGCAAAACATAAAAATGTTAAAGTTAATCTACCGACCACACAACACGTTTTTTATTTACTGCCACACTACATGTTTCGACCTCAGGAGGTCATCATCAGGTGTACGAACACAATTTCACAATCACACNAAGGTCATGAAACCACACTAGGGCATAACTCCAGGCAAAGGGCACACAAGTTCTTTAAGGATGGCTTCAATAAACTGGTGTATCAGTGGAATAAATGTCTCAATGCCTAGGACAATTATGCTGAAAAGTGGCTTTAGTGTGGACTACAACCTTGGATGTGTTGTTTTTTATGTGATGAGAGAAATAAATTTATGACACTAACTTTCCAATCTGCTGCTGTATTTGAGTAAATATGATACTTCCTTGATGGGAGATGCATACTTTCAGGGCCAACCTCTAAAGTGATTTGTTGAAAGAACTAAGTCAGTCCCTCTCACTGTTAATATTATTTTTCAGGTTGTTATTTCCTTTGATATAGCATAAGACCACTTGTAATCTGACCGCATGATGTCACAGTTTTCAAATAACCACTGCTATAAAAGAGGAGATAGAAATATCTGTAATCAGAGACTGGTGACAATATCATGACATATCCAAACACAATTACAACTTGACTGCTGCAGAAAACAGAGAAGAGAAGGAAAAGTATGAATATATTTTATGGATAAGATACAACTGTAGTTTGAAACATATTATATTTCAATGTAACACAGGTAGGGGCATGCAGTAGTGTATTTGGTTGAGGCACTATGCTGCAAGCTGGAAGGTTGCGAGATCAAATCCCAATGAGGCGGATCTTTTCAATTTACCTAGCCCTTCCAGCCACACTATGGCCCTGGGGTAGACTCAGCCTCCAACAGAAATGAGTACCAGGACAATCTTGGAATGTTCTTGGGGGTAAAGGGTGGCCAGGCTGTAAGGCCGACAACCTTACCGCCATCTGTGAGCCAACTGTCTAGAAAACGTGGGAGTCTCAACCTCTCACAACTCTATGGGCGTCCATGGCCTGTTACAGGGATAACTTTACTTTTTTACCTAGAGGCGTGAATAACCATGCTGCTGAAGCACCTCTAAACCCATTATTACTACTTAATGCAACACTTACTTCTCCTTTTAACATTAAAGTTAAAGACATTACAAAAATGAATGTTATTCAGGAAGATCATTTTTCCATAGGCCTCAATGAAAGTGACTGTGATAAACTGTCAAGACAGACTTCACCCAAACATTGTAAAAAAACCTTTATTACATATGGCAAAAGCACCATAATTGAGTGTGAGATAAGTGATGAGAAGTAGTTCTAACTAATGATTCTGACCTAGTTCAATTTTGCAGGTTGCTAACAGACCCAAACTGTTCAGCTGCTCAAGGGGGCTGTTCTGCTGCAGATCTGCTGCATGTCTGTACTGTGCTGCTGCCTCTGCTATCCTGTCCAAGTCTACCCTCAGTGCCTGCCCCAATTCTAGGGCAAGTCCTGCAGCCAGTGGACACTGGGACTGGTGGGTCCCACCCAGTGGCTGGTCTTGGGTATGCTGGTGTTGCCACCGGCTGGCAGCATGTGAAAAAGAGCTGATTGCTGCCTGCAACAAATCAAACAGACAAAGAATACAATGAATAAATTTAAATAAATGACTGCATTTCTGTGCAATTTGGTGGTATGTGACTTGTACTATTTTGAAGCAAAATTTATTATAACTCATTTTGGTTGCCAACTGTATCCAAATTGTGAAATATGCCAAAATTCCACTAAAAGTGGGGAACAATTCAGTTCTAGTAAGTAGTGCAGGCCATAAAACAAAGTGAGAAAATGTGACACCAGATGGAGAAAATGATTAGATGCATTACTGACACTTCTTCATGCCCTGTCTCTCAATATTTCTGACATGACAGACTGAATAACAAAGCATACTTCAAGAATGTGAGATGGAAACAGCTAGAAGCTATAGGGAAATGCTGTGCAAGTAAAGACAATACTTATAGAATAAAACAATGGGTTAAGAGGAAATGTACAATCATTGCCAATAAGCACAGAAAAAGGAAAAAAACTGGCAAACCAATCTACACGAATCCCGGTCAAATGGTGGCATATTTATTATATATATATATTATATTTCATGTTTATATTATATTTATTTTGCAGAACTTATAGCAGTGACAATGAAGATAGTAAGTAGTCCTCAATAAATATTCTGACTGAACAAAATTGTACAGAAGTGTCATACCTGACCATATAACGGATATACTCTAATGAAATCGGTGAGCTATGGATCAAGATTATGGAAAATGTGGTGCAACCAGTATCCAGACATAGAATTCAATCAGAAAAGAGGAAATTATATATGTTTTGTAATGTGTTTGGGGTTCCATGACAAATAATTGTGGATTTTGCATTACATAAAGCTGTTTTATTGGATAACTCGTTTACAGTCTGAACTAAATCACTCCAAAATAATGTCTTCCAGATGATGCGACCTGACTAGTCCACTGTCGCTGAACTGACCTCTGATCTGGTCTTCCCTTTGGTCTGCTCACTGTTCCAGTCTTCTCTGCTCTCACTTCTCTCTCTCTGATCTCAATTCTGACCTCTCTTGGTCTGTTACAACCGACAGTTGGACAGACTAGAAGACATCTTGTTCAAGGATCCCGTTTCATGTGTTAGCTAGTGTATCCATTGCAGCAGGAACTCCACTAGTTAGCTAGTGTATATGTTGCTGTGGGAACTTCACTAGTTTTGGGTTTTCACTTGCATGGTAACAACTCTTACATATGCATTATTGCTTCAACCTGTTTCATTGTCACCCCAACAACGCTACAGAACCGTGGATACCTAGCCATTGCCTAACAGTAGGCATCTGCTTTGACTCAGATACACTAGGTGGAACCAGCTGTTGTGTTAACCTTGAGTGTCTTGTGACGTTAATAGCTTGCATCACGTGACCAGTATCACTCCTAACAAAATGGCTGACAACGATATGTCATTTCGCCAGCATGCTGTCATGGAATTTCTTGTGAATGAGGAAATCCCTGCTGCAGAATTTCACCAGAGACTTCAGCGTGCTTATGGAAGTGTGTGAATGGCTGCAAGCAGTGTTCGAAGATGGGTGAAACATTTTAAAGATGAGCCTCGGAGCGGTCATCCTCGAACAGCCTCAACTGAATGCAACAAGGAAAGAGTGGATGAGATCATTCAAGATGACAGGCGTGTGACTGTGGACACAATAGCCCGAAAACTTGGAATAGGGAAGAGTGCAGTACAGGAGATGATTGAAAGCTTGTGCTATAGGAAAGTTTGTGCTCATTGGGTCCTGCTGTTATTGACCGAAGACCACAAAGGTCAGCAAAAAGCCATCACCTCAGAACTGCTGCAGAGATATCGACACGAAGGCGATGATTTTTTGCTCTGTATTGTGACGGGTGACAAAAGCTGGTTTCACCATTTTGATCCTGAAATGGAACGGCAGAGTATGGATTTGCATTCTCGATCAAAAAAGAAGGCAAAGACAGTGTCATCAGCTGTGAAGGTGATGGGCACAGTCTTCTGGGATGCAGAGGGGTTTATTCTGGCAGAGTTCCTGGACAAACCATCAATGCTACTCGTTATGTCCAGACAGAGCACAAGCTCCGTCGTGCATTGCGCGATAAACGTCCAGGATGAAACATCATCATCCTGCATGACAATGCTTGCCCCCATGCCACTCGCCTCACTTTGGAAGCAATTGCAAAGATGGGGTGGGAAGTTCTTCCACACCCCTCCTATAGCCCTGATCTAGCACCATCTGACTACCATCTTTTCAGATTTGTGAAGGATCAGCTGCGTGGACGTTTTGAGACAAGGGAGGCAATTCAGAAAGCAGTGCATCAGTGTCTTCGGATGGCTGGAACGGAATTTTACAGAAGGGGAATTTTCAAACTCCCAGAACGCTGGGAGAAATGTGTACAAAGAAGTGGCGATTATGTGGAAAAATAAAGAAAGGTCTGTAGATTGAGATGTTGTATTTGGTTTGTTAATAATAAAGCATGATACTTTACAAAAAACTGTTGCTCATGACTTTCAGTACGACCCTCGTAGCTTTTAGGTGGTATGCCACAACACACACACACATATAATGTGGCATATAGACCCATTGTAAAATAAGAGGTGTGCAAACAGTCAACAGTACAACAGCTGTTGATAGGGTACACCTTTGGGGACATGTTTCCATGGCAAAAAAGAACACGCAATAATGGAAGCATCCCTGTGCTCGGTTAATTAAGCATTATGACATGCGGACCTGTGACAGAGTGGATGTATAGTTCCACATACTTGATCTGAGCACAAGATGGAGGTGAGCGGTCAGCTTCATATCCCGGCCACTTAGCCCCCAGGGAAAGAGACTATGGTACCCACTGAATACGAGGCTGGGTGGGCCCCAGAACTAGTCTGGGCACTGAAGAGATAAAAAAATCTCACCCCTGCAGGGAATCAAATGCTAGCAATCCAGTCCATAGCCCATGGCTGTACTTACTGAGCTATTGCCACTAAATAGAAAATTATGTCTTTAAAGGTAAAGCTATCCCTGTAACAGGCCAAGGAGGCCCATCAGGTTGTGAGGTGTCAAGACTCCCACATTTTCTAGACAGCTGGCCCACAGATGGCGATGAGGCTGTCAGCCTTATGTACTGACCACCCTTTTTCAACAGGAAGATTCCTGGTACTCATTTCTATTAGAGACTGAGTTGATTAGGTCAATTGAAAAATCCAATGACCTCATCGGCAATCCAACCTGCAAAGTTTCAGCTTGTAGCATAATTCTTCACTATATTTATCTAACTTCTAAATATATCAAACTAAATTTCTAACTAGCTATTATACAAAAGATATTTGACAATTACCAAAGCTGATCATTGTTATTAATGTGACTATTATATTTTATTATTTTAGCACAAAAATTTATAATTCTATTACTCTACTGCATATATACATATGTGTAACGTAGGGGGAAGAAGGAATATTTATATTCACAGAGATAACAGACTTCAACTGCACTGTTATAACAGTCAAAATGAAGAGGAAGATGAAACACAACAGGAATGATATCACGGGACAAGGTGTCTCGGATCCCCAGGCATAAAGCGGCCAGAGCATGAAGCTGAAAACTCACCTCCAAATAGTGCTGAGGTCAAGAAAATATGGATCTGTACATCCACTTCCCCATTCACCTTAATAGCATAGTGCTTATTTAGTTAAGCAGAGGGACAACTTTACCTTCAGGTATATTGCAGTGGTGATGATGTCCTCCAATATGACCACACATATATTTTACATCGTCCACACTTCTATGAATTGTTCTGATTATATTGTGAGAGTACAATATTCCTTGCTATAGTGTGTGTGGGTACAGAGGGTAAGATCCATAATTTGCTGTACAAAAGTATGATTCTGTTTACTCTAATATGACTTTTCTAAGAAGGTATAAATGTAAGTAATCTACTGGTCTGGGCCAGCAGCATTGGTGAAACATACCTCTGAAACGTACCTTAAATTTCACATATTTTTGTCATGGGCCAAATATACATATCAGGGATTCCAAAATCAGATAAATAGCAGTTTAACATATAATTGGGATATTTAAGCTGTCCCCTGAAACCTGCACTATATCAAGGGTTAACTACAACATTTATCACTAATTCGTTCCTCATTGAGTTAACATATCATACAGAATTCAACACTGACCTGAGGGGGTCGATCCTAGCCTTACTTTTATTTCAAGTAAACAGGAAATATTTCTGATGCAAAACATATTCATATTACCTGCACATGTTCACCTCCAGGACTTGGACAACCTAGGTCTTTCGCACTAATTTCTGCTGTCAAAAATTGTCTTCCCGCACGAACTACGTCCCATGCTTCGCCAGAACCATTTCCTAAGGAACTTTCACACCTGGCAGCTGCCACCCAACACAACCCTGCGTACTGTGGTAGTTCCTCACGCTCACACTGAAGGGCAAGTTTTCCTGCATAATATACACACCACATTAAAAATATCCATGTTATAAACAAAACTAAATTTTCAAACCAAAGACTTCCCTAGTCCACCAAACCACGAATCAAACAAAAAACAAACAAAACAAACTCACCAAACTGGTCACTCGCTTCAGTTACATTTGGTTTTCTAAGAAATCGCCTGAAACACAAAAATTACTTTTAATCCCTACTTTCATTTGACATATGACAACTTCTTCAACACAACCTCAAACCTTCACGACACCATTCAACTACATAATAATACTAGTCTTCTTTACGTACTTCTTCAATTTATTCGAAATTGCTCGATATTGTCCTAGAAAGTCGTTGCCACTACCACTGTCTGCCATTCTATTTCCTCCTGCCCTCTGTCAAGAACGTCAAGAACTGACACTCTCATTTTATTGGTTAGCAACATGGCCGCCATGATACCACGATGCAATGCTTCTGCCATCTCTACGCATTCACCCCTAACAAAATACAAAATGGCAGCCAGATCCGACAGCACAAACGATAAGAAGGCGTGCTAACATATCACCTTTTGGTTGCTCCTCGCTCCCCCCTTCCCAGAGAGCCTTTTTTTTTTTTTGGAGGAATAGCAATAAATAATTTTGCAACCAGATCTCTTGCACTGCTGAGGTTCTTACACCCCCTTTTTTAAATCAGTTCAGTATCACTTCACCCATATCTTTTGAAGAGGGATATGAGTGAAGTGATATTAATCTTGTTTCCCCCTAAAAAAAAAAAAACGTAGTGGGACCATCTGCAGTATATATCAGGTTGCAAATTATTTTTCTCACAAGTGCCTGGAAAATAATAAGCTTTCTTTCACATCACACACCTCTTTATCCAAATGCACTGAACATTGTGAGCTGTAACATACATGGAATACATGTATTTAGGAAAGCTGAAGATGGGGAAATATGAAAGAAAATTCTGTTTTAATCAGACACACTTATATACCTCGTTACCTGCTCAAAACTTACACTTGAAAGCCGCACAGAACATATTTTTTGGTTATGTTTAAGTATTATAAATCATGCACAGTAAGCAACAATACTCAGGTACCCATTTATTATTAATTTCATTAGAATGATGGAACTCAAGAATGTGAACTACATCCTTGTCAACAAGATTAAGACTACATTTAATGATACATGAAAATCTGGTATATTCACCTTCACCAGTTAGGTACAGGGCAGAATATGGCAAAAATAATAACATAGCTTACAGAAATATAATGAATACTGAAAATCTGAAATCTTTTCATATTCTAGTTCAGTAATGGAAAGGATTATATGGCAAAAATAATAACACATCTTAAACAAATACAATGAATATTGAAAATCTGGTATTTATTCACATTCCAGTTCAATAGGGAAAAGATTACTCATGGAGCTGAGCCCTTCTGCAGCTACTCAAGAATTTCCCAGTATTTTATGGAACCCGAAGGTTCAATCCCGTGTTCACGAGAGTCCTCCATTGGTCCCTATCCTGAGCCAAATCAATCCAATCCATACCATCCCATCTCTCTAAGATCCATTTTAATATTGTCCACCCACCTACGCCTTGGTCTTCACAGTGGTCTCTTTCATTCTGGCTTTCCCTACCAATATCCTATACACATTTGTCTTCCGCAATCGTGTTACATGCCCTGCCCACTTCATCCTCCTTGACTTGATCATTCTAATTATACTTGGAGAAGAGTACAAGTTATGAAGCTCTTCTTTGTGCAGTTTTCTCCAACCTCCTGTCACTTCATCTCTCTTTGGTCCAAATATTCTCCTCAAAACTCTGTTCTCAAACACCCTCAGTCTATGTTCCTCCCTTAATGTCAGAGACCAAGTTTTGCACCCATACAAAATCACAGGCAAAATTATAGTTTTGTATATTTTAATTTTTATGTTTTTGGACAGTGGACGAGAAGACAAAAGGTTCTGGACTGAATGGTAGCAAGCATTACACCTCAGTTCAATCTCCTCTTAATTTCCTCCTGAATCAGGTTTCGATCTGTTATCATTGTTCCCAAGTATCTGAACTGTGCCCCATTTTCAAAACATCTGTTTCCTATCTTCATGTCATGATTTTGCCCTGCATTTTGGTGATGAGACAGCAATATATACTTAGTTTTCTCTGTGTTTACTTCTAGACCGACCTATTTACTTGCGTCAATTAAAGTTTCTGTGTTTTTCTTTATGGTATCTACATTATTACCCAATAGATTCACATCATCAGCATAAACCAATGGCTGATGTGTCCCATTTAATTTCAGTCCCACCTGGTTTCCCTGGACCTTCTTAATGGCATATTCTAAAGCAAAGTTTAAAAGGAGTGGCGATAAAGCATCTCCTTGTTTTAGACCATTCTGGATATGAAATTTATCAGACAAATGTTTACCTACATGGACTTTACTATATGTTTCGTTTAAACACATTTTAATCAACCTAACTAGTTTCACGGGTATCCCAAACTGTATCGGAATATTGCACAACACTTCCCTCCTAACTGAATCATAGTACTGCATTTATTATCAACGCCTTTATTTAAAACTCACATTTGCAAATGATATAAAATGAAGAATGTCTGCACATTGATGGATCACAGGTTATCTAATTATGCTGTATCAACTGCAGAGGTTATTGAGCATTAAGTAATATAAAAGGATAATCCTTTTTGATTAACTTGAAAGAATTGGGGAAAAATCAGTCATGCTACTTCAAGTTACTATTCCAACATTTATATGGAAGGGGGCATGAAAGTTATAAAAACAGTTAGGATAGTTGAAGCCTCAGGGAAGTTTGAATCAGGCAACTCATGAATACAAGTCAAATACATTACCACTTCAGGCAAATTGCTTGCTAGCATGTCTGAATGTAATGACAAAATTATATAACAGAGACTCACAGCAGAAAAGTCATTGTGCCAATACATTCTAAGCATACAATCAATTTTACAAAAGTACCTGGATGTCCAACTTTTGAGGCGAGGTTATTATGTTTCCATGAATGTTATAGAATAAACTACAGTAGATGACAATGTGTGACAAAGAAGCACTGTCCCTGCTCATGCTGGCACATCTTCACATGGAAGTCAAATACAGCACATAAGATTATTCCATACATATAGATCATTGAAGGTTGCAGTGCAAGGGCCAGATTATTAAGGCTAATACCTTATGCATTCATTCATTCATTATTCCAAACATGATGGGTTCGGTGCTGCTATGGGGTGTATTATTAACTACCTAAGTGCAAAAAACTGAGAGCTTACAGATCATTCAGCCCACCAGGTGGAAGTGTTGGATGCTTGCAGCTGAAGAGTGTGCTGAAAACTCTCAGATCATCGCACCATAGTAGTGAAATGCATTCTCTGCAGAAACAACAAGTAATAAAAATTATTCAGCATTACTGTCTTGCTGATGTTACTCATTCATGCCTAACTGTGAATATTATTGCTTCAATTGTGTAAAGACAACAATGCATACATGCTGACAAATAAAGGGTGAGGGAAAAGATTTCTGTGCATAAAGGATTGGCAAAATAAACCAAAGGAAAATAATATGCAGTACTCAATGGTGTTCCCCAAATTCAGACATAACTTCATGAAATTTATGAAGGAAAACATGGGGAGGGAGAACTTATATCACACAAAAATAAATGACATAAATATAAGTTTCATCAATATCTGAAACTTTTATCCGAGTTGATTTCTTTTCAATTTTATTTTGCAATACAACAAAATATTAATTTATGCCACTTTGTATGGTGAGGAAGATATACTGGTATGAACTAAAATGAAATACTGGCAACACTGCATGTCTTCAATATTAAATTTAATTTAAATTGATCCAGAGGTTTGAAAAATGAAACATGCACAGAAACAGACATGACCTATGATGGTATTTCACTGTACTATACATGAGATCCATTTGAAATGATATAAAAGTAAAAAGCCATTAACCCATCACTCCACATATAATATTTCCCATTGTTTCTATACACATGAAGGAACCCTGAATGTGTATGAACAGATATGTTACTGCAGGGCATGGCAAGTAGAGGTCATGTCACAGAAATTACAAAATGTCATCAACTCCACAGCAGAGGGCAAAACAATTTCAATGGTTTGCAGTTTAAAAATATTAAAAGGGTGTAGATATGTGTATAGCTTTCACGAAGTTCCTTTATACCAAAATATCAAGAGACAGTACATAATGTTGTAAGAAACTGGCTCCGTTCTAATGACGAGATATGATGGTTAAGGGCGTGAAGTTTGCACTGAAGAATGAATTTGAAAAGCTATGGTTCTATGTCCCTGGAAGTCATTTATAAGGGAAATGTTAAACTGGTCTGCTTATGGGAGACCTAGTACTTCATCCCCATATTCACTGAACACTTCTGTATGAGAGTACATAAAAAACACTGCTTATGCATAATGCCCAAGATACATTAGAGATATGAGGGGCAAGATTCTACTACATAATAAACCACACTAATTCTAAACAAGACCAGAAAACTCTTTGTCATGAACATGAGGAGGCCATGTTCAAGTGTAATAGCCTTTCAGGGTTTCTTGTAGCCTTTTCTCAAAGTTGCAATAAAATACAGGAAGCACTTTCAGTGTTACAATAAACTGTTTTACTTTTATGTAATTTCAAATGGATTTCCTGTATTTTAATGGCTCTCAATAAATTCTCTATACAACAGTCAACATAAAAACTGGTCTCATAAAATGTTAGAAACCAAATATTACAAATAACCACTTTGTATGCATTCCATACAAAAGGAACAGTAATATGTGTATGGAAGAACATTTGCTAGAAGACTGCAGTGATGAACACAATCAATCATATAACACATTCTCACAGCTCAAGTTTATAACCCTGTATAAAGGGCAGACCTGTGCTCACTCGTTTTTGATACTGGTAGTAGTCATCTCCAAAGAAGTGAAGAAGCATATTCTCTTCTATGAACACACGTTCATTAAAGAATTTCCAACTGGCCACTACATAAGCAACTATGCACACCGGGTTGACTAATATCAGCTGTTACAAAAAAAAAAACAGTACACAAAATTATTCCTGGATTAAAATATTACATAAGCTGGGTTTATATCATATGGAATACCATATCCTTAAGGTTTCAGTTGTATAGACATGTTATGCAAGGATGAGGGTTCGTCTGACACTATGAAAAATGAAGATATCAAATTGAGAACAGGGACAAGGCAGAAGGACTGAGTGATGAAGGATATACAAAACAGCCAAGGAAAAGAGTGGACAGAGATAAAACAGAATCACTTATAAGAGGATAAAGAAGAATACAGAAGGCTCTGTCATATGACTATTCATCCTGGTGGAAATGTCAGTGAAATGCGATGAACACCCCGTATGACAAAAGATAAACAGAGGAGCAGTTACTGAGAGTAAGAGACTAATCAATAAAAAACAGCAACACATAGTTCACTGACGCCATGAACTTTCTAAATGAAGTCCACAGAGGAAATATGTAAATAACTACAGTGAAACTCAGTTCAGATTGTGATCTTTTGGGTTGACACTACGTAAACTTGTAAGCAGATATCAATGTTTTGGGTGAGCATGCAACCCTTATCTTCAGAGTTGATGAAGTGTGCAGGGTAGGCAATATTTCTTTTATTTGGTTACTTAATGATGCTGTCAGTACTGAGACTATGTAGTGTCAGCTGACAGGATGTGGTCATGGTATAATGAAGGTACAGTCCCAGCATTTGCCTGTAGAAACTGAGAAAAACCACAGATCTCATTTAGATACAACGGAGGGAAAGAGGACATGGAGGAATGCCCAAGGCCAACAGGAAAATGGGCCTTTCCATGGCCACAGTAGTTTTTCATCACAGGAGGAACACCTTGAGCATGGATGCTGCATTTTCCTCTAAAATATTCATGTCTGCCTACAAGACTACACAGTTTCACCACCTAAGAGACTACAATCTGGACAATCACTTGCAGTAAACCTCAACACCTATAGCAAAACCCATTTAATACATGTTGTAGGCTGTTTTTGTGCCTTATGAGGAATCAAGAGTTTAATCCCCAGCATGGGTAAGACTTTTTCTCTTTTCCACAATATCAAGATAGGCATCTGGGCCATCCAACCTGATATCTGATGGATATTACAGGATGTTTCTCGAGGGACAAAGTGCACCTCCAACCGACAATACTGGAATGATATGAAACAAATTAAGTTTGCTGACTTTTAGCATAAATCCAAAATAAAAAAAAATTTCACTGAAGGTTTTTAAAATAATTTCAGAACATGTGGAGAGCAACATATGATCTTCCTATGACATGCTTGCTTCTTTATGCTTTTGTGCCAAGCAAGCATACAAAAACAGGATAATTTTCCAGTTATATGCATACCTGAGTGCCTATAGACCAGTAGAACCAACCTACATAACTAGGATGTCTGCAGTAGTTATAAACTCCATGGGTCACTAACTGATGACCCTCCTCATGAACACTCTGAACAACGTGATTGAAGTTCGTTTTGGCAGTGAACATTGCAAGTTTACGAAGAAACTCACCACCCACACAGAGCAGCACACCAATAAGGCTCACAGAGGTGACTTCCTTCAAATCTGCAAGAAATTGTAAGACAAACCTTCAAAATATTTGTTAAGCAGCACTTACAAGTTCAGTAATACTGCATAGAGTACAGAACATCTATTAGTGAGTAAATTATCACAGGTAAAGTTTGATTTCTGGAAGAGATCTCTTTACCATCATATAGGGGCCACAGAGCATCCCAACCAATATAGGCTACTGGAGGCTCTTTCTGTGAGGGTACTGTACTCCACATGTGGTGCTAACCACTCACCTCCATCTAATAAAGGGGTGAAGAGCATGTGAACATCTCCATTTCACCTATATGCATCCATGGTGTGACACTAAGGGGTACAACCTTACTTAATCTTAACAGGCCATTTATTTTTGTTCAAACACCCCATATAAACTCCACAGGAGAAGTACCTGAAGTAGATACCTAAACCTTTTGAGGTGACTAAAGCTGTACAAAATAAATTGAAGAGGTATTAACCGCTTGAGCATGACTTTACGTGGAGACATTTAAATCCGTAAGCACGTGCGACGCACCGTCTGCATCCGCTCAAACCCATGCTGTAAGCATGCGCGTCGCATATGTTGCATCCAAACTTTTCACTAAGAATTCTTAATGCCTACGCTCTGATGTATGTACTTCCAGTGAATGTATATGTGAGTTAATACTGACTTCTTTCATTCCTCGCTATCTGTTTGTGTGTGGTATTTTTTTACTCACTTTGCTTGGGACAAAGCATCTGGTGTCTGCTGCTTATGAAAGAAATGTTCCCACTCACACTCTGAGTTGCTTTCAGAGAGATAATTTGTTAGCTAACGTCCACTGAGTGCTTGTTATCTGTGTTTGTGTGTGTATTTTTTTTTTACTGGCTTGGCTTACTGGCGACAAAGCAGCGGTGTCTGATTTACGATGTTACAAACCTAGGGGCCGAAGTTGCCTGACGCCTGTGTCAACATTTATGAATTTGTTATTTCTTTTCTGCCTTGCAACACTCTCTTAGTGGAGCCCCATCGCATCTTGGTCACGTAACTTGTCTGGCGGGACAGTTTCTTGCCCCTGACGCAAATAAAATCACACTTTCAAAAGTGCGTTCCCACAACTTTGAATGAAATTAGGGTATTCCTAGGTTTTCTTATGCTGATGGGAATTCAGAAACCAAACCTCAGAAGTATTTTAGTAGGAAACAAGGGAAAAAGTGTGGTATGAAAAATTATTCAACCACTTAGTATCCGTTGTCTTATTTACGATGTTATGAACCTAGGGATCGAGGTTGCCTGGCGAGGTTGCCAGACGCCTATGTCAGCATTTATTTCCTTTCTGCCTTGGGACCATCCCTTAGCTGAGCTATTTAGTTCACCATGGCATCTTGCTCTTGTAACTTGTCTGAAGAACAAGTGCTTGATCTTTTGGACGAAAACTCTTCAGTAGATTCGGATACAACCTCTGTGGGTTCATGTGGATATACTCTCGATCCAGTTCCGAAGAGGAAGAGGAAGAACTTCAATTTTCGCTGAATACTCCAGATAATACTTGCTCCTGCTGCTGGTCATCCAGCCCATTGCCTAGCTACTACACTAAATGCATTAACTGCTGACTTACTTGGAAACAACCATCGTTCTATCAAGAATTCCATCCAACTGGCAACAGCAGCAATACCGTACTCTATACTATGGTTCAGTATGAAGGAGTCAAGTGACAGAGTTCTTGGGTTTGTAAATGCTATCATCAAGAACTCTGAATAATGGAAGAACGACATGAAACACATGTACCATCCAAGTACATGATATGATGGTGGCGCCAAGTCTGCCAAGAATAGTCCCAGAGAGAAAATAAAACCAAGAAAAGCAGCACGAATTGCAACCTGCAAGTGAAAAGAACATTACACGATTACATCAGCAATGTGAGAAAACAACATATTTTGAAACAATATTTTGAAATTAATAACGCACAAGTGTCAAAATAAAATGTCCTACACAATGACAAAGGAATGAAATGTGAAATTTACAATATAATGATGAACTTGATCTATACAGATGGCCTGGTATTGTCAGAGTAGTGAAATCCTGAAGGCCATGATGGGTTGGGCATGTAGCTAGGATGAAACAAGGAGTGAAGTGTTTTTACACAGTAATGTTTATATACATCATGACTTCAACATTAACCATTTTATTTTACTGGTTTTAATATCTGTACCATCAACGACATTTTTATTATGAAACCTGATATAAAGGTAGGTTTGTTCAATCTTCAAGTTCTGCTACCACACAGCTGTTATGTAACAGTGATGAAGAAATGGTACAGGTGACAAAGCTGTCTTGCCACTTAGAGATTAACACGACCAAGGGCTGTGTTCCCAGTAATTTACTAACATAATAACAAAACCCCAAATAACCAAAAAGACAAAATTGTTTAAAAAAATAAAATAATTTCCTGTGTATTAATATTTATTTGTATTCATTTGTTTTTTGTGTCAGTCTATCTGCACACTGCACTCCAGAACAACAAAACAGAACGAAATCTGATATTAGATTTCCTCATTAAAGTTATAGTACCCTTTAAAATGTTATAAAGATCATTATACTTTTACTCCGTGGCCTGTGGTCCGAAAGCATACTATACTGACCAAGCCATGGCAGCTTGTCAGCAAAGTTAGTGCCAACTTTTGCGGATAGAGGGTGTCAGCGCAATGGATCCCCACGGTAGTTAATCTCGGTTTTCTAGACCGGAGCCGCTATTTCCTAGAATTATCCTCATAAGGCTGAGTGGACCCCACTCCAGACCCACCACTTCTCAGAAAATCTAGTAGTGCCGGGAACCGAACTTGGGTCCTCTGGATCTGTAGCCAGGAACTCTGACCACTAGACCACAGCAGCGGTCCTTATAAAGATGATTATCATATAAATATATTCTTACAAGGGAGAACTGCATTAAGACCTCTCATGGAAACTCTGTGCACTTCAGTACTGAATGAACCTTTATAGTTTTGTTTTAAATGGATCTGTGACGCTACATTGCATGTGATCAATTTTTAAAATATTTCCATTATTCTAGTGTGAATAATCAATAAGATTACTGACAAGTAACATCTGGAAATGTAGCACAAATATACAATACAGACCAACATGAATTACTCATTTTATTAAAATTATGAATTTCAGAATTTTGTCTAAACAATGACTTATTGGTAACCATAAACAGAGCCAAGGAGAGTATGTACTTGGATGCTAGAGGTAGTATATTTAAAATTAAAAAAAAAAATTATGCAAGAATCCCTGGGTCTTGCTTCCATTAATATTCTAACAATTTGCTTTTGGAGTTTGAAAATATTGATATTCTGGGAAGAAGTTCCCCATAAAATTAAACTATATGTTATAACCGAATGAAAATAAGCGTGATAGATTATCTTCAGGGAATTTAATGATAAGAAAGGTCTAACTGCTCTTGCAATATAACACGCTTGGTTTAATCTGGAAGCCTACATATCAATGTGACTCTTCCAAGACGTAGTATTGTGAAGTACTAGCCCAAGAAACTTTAGTTCGGTAGTATTGGCAATAATTTTGTTGTTATATTTAATTTGTATTTCAGAATTAATAATATACTTAGAGTGGAATCCCATACAGTAGGTTTTGTCCAGATTTAGTGAGAGTAAATTTGCCTTAAACCATTTCCTCACATTAGTGAAGACAGACTTCAAGTTATTTCCTAGTACAGTATTGTTTTGATTACTGAAGATTACACTAGTATCATCCGCAAATAAAATTGTTTGGGGATTTGCATTAACG